GACTGCATAGCCCCAAAGTTGTCATTCAAAACTGGGGAAGATGATGATCAGTCATCAACTTTCGGTGGGTTTTCGGTGGGGGGTTTCTCATGATTTTCAGCCAAGCCAAAGTTTTTTCGGATCGTCCCCAAGGATGATCAAAACCCGGCTGTGGCTTGATGCGAATCCGCTGCCAGGAGAGAATCCGCAGACAAGCCACCTGTCCATGTGAAGGGTCGACACTCGGTGTCTGCCTCACTCACCAGTGGTGGACAGGACAACAGGGCTGATCAGAGAAAGCTGGGGTCTCAGGATGACTTTCAGGTGGCTGGTTTTTTTTTAGGACCCACTGGGTGATTATGGATTCAACCAGCACTCTCGTTGGATGAAGAAAAACAACTTGAAATATTTCTGTAAGATGCTTAGAAGCAGTCACTTTGTGTTGGATCACCTGCAGATTGGCAAATCTCATCTTGGGGATCCCTGTGGCATGACATTTTGAACAGGTAATCCTCTAATTTCAATGCTCCGTCCGGTTCTGGGCTATACAAGTTAAGTCTTGGCATATCCCCGGTTGAACATGATTTGAAACAGACATTCCTTCCAACTTCCTCAGGATGACTTCCATTTGGCTTTCAAAATAGGCTTCGGATCCAATGATTCATCTTCCCTCAAGCTGGGCTGGGGGTATACCAGTATATACTCAGTATATACAATGGTGTATACTCCATTTTCAGGCCCAGTTTGGGACCCCATCCCCCTAAACTCAATGGTCCCAAAGATGTTCCTCCGATGGCCGAGGGAGTTATCACTTATACTCTGAACATCCCGCAAAACACAAATCCATGATTCGTGAAATCATGTGAAATCCATAATTTCAGAGATACTTTGGACATTTCGCACATTTCACAATCTATTTTTCAGATTTTGTGAGGCGAATGATGAATCAAAAATCGAAAAAAACCCATAGCGTCGCAACCCCTTGGCATGGCGTCAGGGATCCTCGTATCCTGGATGGTTTTGATCGATTTTCCCATAGCTATTTGTCCTTTTTTGTTGGGGTAAACACCCGAAAATTGCATGAGAACATGTGGCCGAATCCCGAGCTGGGTCTCCAGAAATCCCAATCATCAGGTTAATCCCATGGGAAATCCCTTCAAGTCCACTGGTTAGTCCTAAAAGAAAGACATGATTAATGACAAATTCCACTGCAAAACATATTGGAAAATAGTTAATGGAATATATTCGCCTTCTAGGAGTATCCATTAGCTAATACTTGGTTATGGTACCTGCAGGCCTGCAGACTATGATATATTGAATCCAAATCCACTGACTATATTCCCCACTCTCTAATTACCCTTTGGTAATTTAATGTAGCTATGGACAATCACCATTTTATGATACAGTAGTTCATCATTTTCATCATCGATACATAAATGGGCCATTTTGATCCATTTTGCATATATTAGTCATGTTAAATAACCAGAGAGTAGTCCAATTCTACTAATTCATGATATTGGAAGATATTTAGTAGATCTAGTTAATTAATATAGTTGATGAACATAGTTAATGAAGATAGTGTTTGAAGATAGTTAACATGAAGATAGTGAATATGAAGATAGTTATTACATTATACATCATTAATAAAACATCTAAGATCTCAATGAATTCGGCCATGGACGACTGATGGTCTCCCAGCAAGGTCCGTAGAGATCAAAAAGACGAGCTGCGGTGCCGGTTTGGCAGGTCACCTGATTTACGCCGAGAAAAACGCTTCGGGATGGGACGATGCCTTTTGGGAAAGGGGAAACTATGGGAAACTATGGGAAAATCATGGGAAAATCATCGGAACATGTGGGAACATCATGTGAAACGATTGGGAAATATTAGGACATTTTAAGCGTGTTTCGAATGGAAGACTTGCCTATAGGATGGGTCAAAATCCAAAGTCGGGGTGTCTGCGGTTTCAGGAGCATCCAGGATCTCAAGGGCGAAAACTCAGAGTTTGTCTTGGTTGATCATTTTAATGATATTTTCTATTTGTTGTATCATGTTGTATCTGAGATTTGAATAGATTTCATGGATTAAGTATGATTCATATATATATAGCCCTCATTTTTTGATGATGCGCACCCTGGAACCTTATTTGGAAGCCTAAAGGCTGCGGCAGGTTCTGGGATTTTTGGGGATCTCTTGAATCCTGGGGACCCCATTCTCCTTGATGGTTGAGAAACTCATTCTCCTTCCTGCAATGGCAGAAAGTTGGGAAGATTCCCCATTTTTGGACAAACCTACCTTGTTGGATCTTGTTGGTTACCCTCTGGTAATGACTAACAGTTAGCTATTGAAAGATCCACCCATTTTTCATGGGAAAATCCACTATTTCTATGGCCATTTTCAATAGCTATGTTAGTTTACCAGAGGGTATATCTCACATTATTTCCTCATTGTATTCGCACAACGTGGTTGGTTTTATAGCAATTTGATGCAATTTGTCCAATGATTTCATTCACATCCAATTAATATCCCAATTAAACCCACACATTTTGTCTGTTAGTTTCCAATTTCTTATTGGTTAAAACCAATTGTCATTTGGTTCAGTTCCTGATTTACTCCCAAAATCTTGTCGATGATTTGTATTCATATGTATATATATTATATATATATACATATTATATGTATATATACATATATATATATATCCCATTAAATTCCATTAAATCCCATTTGTTGATGGTAACCTGATTCAATTTTTGGTCACTAAAAAAGCAGTCGGCCGTGTCGATCCTGCAGGCGCCATCGCGAAAGTCCGACTGGCCTTAGCCTCCAGCCGTCTCTTGGCGACGAAGTTGGAGCGTTGGAAGTTGTGGAATCCTTGGGCAGGGATGGATGAAAATCATCATGGTGATTGTTCAATGGGATTTCCTGTGTTTTTTGACCAACATTAATATTCCTATGTGTATGTTCAATAGGCCAAATAGCTATGCTTGGTGAACGTCTTTTGATTGAATTTGGATATATCACCAACATTCATCAAGCATAGCTATTTGGGCTGTTTGGGTGTAGGGATTGAAAAACATCAACGGTCTGGTGTTTCACCAACGATGGAGATGTAATGCAAATTCGATGTGGATACAAGAGGATATATGATATATAGCCAACGAAATAGATATGATTTGGGTGTCTGAACATTGGGTATACCCAATATGTAGCCATTTGTATGCGGATTTTCCATTGCCATGTTTGATTACCGGAGGGTAATGATGTAATATCATGTAATATCCACAAAAAGCGGCAGAAATATAAGCAGCATATAGTTATATATTCGGATAAATCAATGCGACCTCACTGCGACTGAAAAATATTTGGGGGATTTTTCATCCCCATCGCCGGCGGCAGGTTTCAGATTGGTGAATCAGGGAAATTTAGCCACACACATGTATATATATATATATATCACATATATATATATATATCTGGGCAAATTATAACGACCTCACTGCGACCTCACTGGAATCATGGATAATAAGGGGAATCATCCCAAAATGGCCTTAATTCAGGTTGGTGAAATATTATAATTTACCCAGATATATACACATACAGTACTATTACAAATTCCAAACAATACAGTACTATTACAAATTCCAAACAATGGAGAATTGAACCGCAAACCTGGGATACGCAACAGCGAGATAGAACGAGTAAAACAAAAGGGGTGAAATCATGTAGCCACATGTTTAGTCCGTTCCACCAATATATATATAGATGTATACACATTGTACACATATATATATATGTATAATATATATATAGATAATATATAATATATAATATACATAATATATATATATATAATATACATATGTATACATACACCTACATACATATTGTATAGGCATACATCCCTTCCGACCGGTAAGGTATCATCAGGTATAGCACCCCCCCATGTCGGATGTAGAAGCAAAATCCAATCCAAACATAGTGACTTCAAATTGCTCAATATCGAATCAAACCTTAGAAGAGTGATACATATGGGGGTTTCCATACATGGGGGTACCCCAATAGATCCCAATAGCTAGATGGTTTATTTCATGGAAAATGCTCTTAAAGTAGATGATTTAGGGTACCCCTATTCTAGGAAACCTCCATATCTACCTTTTTAGAATCTTTTTGGGGTTCCCGTACCCTGTTCGAGGCTGGTACAGCAGTAATGTGGCGGTCGCGTTACGTGCGGGCTCCCAATCCGGACGGCAGCACCTTTCCTGGCAGCTTTTCTGGGAGAAATGAGGGTACAAAGCCAACTAGAACAAAATTTGGGAAAAAACACATACAGTATTCTGAGTAGTAGTGGTGACTATAATTAATCGATGTTAACGGGATAGATCAACAATATGATATGTATATATATATATGTCTTTGTCTAAAAATAGGATACTCCACAAGCCAAGTGTTGTCATGTTTTTCCCTTTTCCCCTGTTTTTTTTTTCCGGGCATATCGGAAAAACAGTGCTCCATCTTCAGACACACCAAAATATGGTGGAGATGTGAAATTCTTCAGTCGCTTAAATTGGAGATATCTAAACATATTTACCAACTTCAATGGAAATCCAACTGCCAAAATGTTGGGTAGATTAATATGGATTGATGATCAAGGAATCTGGTGACCTGTGGCTTCAAATATGTTTTAAGCCATCTAAAAAGTCGAGGATATACTGACAATCAATCGGAAGATCATCAGCAAACATGGGGATACATATACATCAAGCTGTCGCTGGTTGGTGGTTTCAGATATGTCTATTTTCAACACAGTACTTGTGATGATCACCAATGACTCATTCGTCAGAATTTCTCGCGGATGTTCTCTGAGTCGGAAGCAGCTCTGTTTCTCGCGGATTTATCATGATTTAGGAAACATGGTGATGTTCATGGAATTTCCATAGCCTTTTTCATAGCCTATATGTTAGCCATGACCAGATCAAAAACCATAGGAATTTTGGCGGTCGCTGCCGTGCTGAGGTAGCATGTTGCAAGGCCGAAATTGGGCCATGTTGATGGTCCGGAACTCAGGTTCTGGATGAACATGGATGAACTTAGTGGGAGATTTTCCCATTGAACATGGTGATTTTCCATAGTTATGGGACAGTTTACCAGAGGGCAAAACTTATAAGTACCAACCCAATGGGAAACCATGGGAAAGCTGTGGGTTTTACCACCGCGAAAGGTGGTAGCGCTGCTACTCGCATTGTTTATGCCCGACATTTGGGTGTTGGCTGGAGTCAACGACACCGTGTTCATTGACGTTGCCGGGGGCCCCAGAAGACCATCCTGGACCTGAAGTCGGTATGGGATGATACAACTGATATTCCATCTGCAAGTAGGTAAAAAGTAGTATACTATAGAATCATGGTATAATCTAGAATAATGGTATAGTATTGTACTATAGTAGTATACTATAGTAGTATACTATAGTAGTATATTATGGTAGTATACTATAGACAAACTGTCTAGAGATTATTCATGTACCAACTCCAGTTTGATCCGGAGATGAGGTGCTTACTTTGGTGATGGTGCTTTTCACCATGGAATTGCTGATTCTCAGTGTTGTTGTCCGAGCCTCAGGGATGGGTCAAAAGCCTGCCTTGGGTGACCCTCAAAAGAGTTGGTCAAATTCGTCTCCCTAAAAATGCTATTGAAAGGTGTATATCTATATAATATATATATATTCCATCAGGAATTCTCATTTCTTTTGGTTAGATCCAGACAGATTTCCGCGATTTTTTTTTTTTAATCATTATCCATCCACATCCCTTGGCTGAGGATTCACACTACATCCTGAGCTTTTTTCAGCTCATGGACATCTTCGGAACCTCGGACGGATTTTACCACAGGGTAATCAATACTTCAACCAACCATCAATGGTTATCAATTTAATCAATAGTAAACCCTGAGTTCCCAAAGATATTTGCAAAATTTCGCAAAGATTAACAAATCTCTCTTAATATTAATTCATATTGTAGCATTCAACACATTAATATTCATAGAATTATTCAATGGTTCCCAGAGTAAATCCCCCGCGAAAAATGGCCACCGAAACGCCCATGGCTTCGATGAATCACCGGCATGGCCAGCCTTCGAGAAGTCTGAACTTGGCAGAGTATTGTAGGCTAGCCATGTCCACCCCCTACTATATATATATATATTATACTGTATAATTATATTATTATATATATATATATAAATATATATATATATATGTGTGCTTTTTTTTTCCCTCTCTCTCTCTCTTTCTTCCTGTCTTCTAACTAAGTCAATCATATTCTAACGGTGTCTGTCTTAGATCTCCCTTAGTTTTAACATCTATATACATCGTTGTGCCGGTCACCGAGGCACAGTCTCCATGATCTTTGACATCTCCTTCATGCTGGGTGCGCGGGCAGATGAAGCCCAGGTTGTCCCTTGGTGAAGCGACATCTCGACCAGATGAAGTCACCAAAATTTTCGATACAGAAGAGGAGTTTGGATGAAGTTTGAGTTGCTATACTCAATTTTTTGGGATTTTAAGCGATCTTCTGTATCTTTTGGGTCTTGGTATAGATTGGTATCAGTATAGCTATATTGGATTATATCCGGAATTTTGTATTGGGACATACATTGGATACACAATTGAATTATATATATATATTGGATGTATATATATATATTATATACATATATATATATTGATATTGGGATGCAATTTGGTATAGATAACCAGAACTGTGATGAGTCGGGTTTTATGGGCCAAACTACGGTAAGTCAGTGAAAATCAAGTGAATTAAGCAATTGTAATTAGTTTAATCGATTCACTTCCACGGAAAGTTTTCTCAAAAACACCATGGCTTTGTTTGAACATCTATCCCTAAATCCATATTTTTGAATCATCCCAACATTTAGTTCTATGGCTCATTTCTATAGGATTTACCCTCTGGTAATTTAACATAGCTATTGAAAATTGCCATAGAAATAGTGAGTTTTCCCCATTAAACATGGTGATTTTCAATAGCTATGGGACAGTTTACCATAGGATTTACCCCCATTTTTCACGACTTTTCAGACATCCACAGCCACATCCCTGGCCGGTTTGCCATGCCTTGGCCGCCGGTTGAAACCGCTGCTTCCGAGGCGTCGAACAATGCCGATGCCACGGCGAATCTGATGCTGTTGCGCGCTGCCAGGGCCGCGAAGGTGCCGTTATGGAAACCATTGAGAAAATGCCATGATAATGGATGGTTTCATGTAGTTTAATATAGTGGAAAATCTAGTTGAAAATGTGTTTTTGAATGGTTTTAATATAATTAGGATCAGCCGATTTTTTTCAATCCATATTTTATGTTCGGAGTTTCCATGAAGTATTCACCATCCAGCTATTGGGGTAGCCCCACCATCCCCAAATTGACCATTTTGGGTGGGATGGGTGGGATTCAAACCATGAAAATATGGCTGGGTTATGATTTGTTACTGCTTTACTAATACTACTGGATAGTGGATAAGGGATATAAATGGGGTATGCACAGTGAATATCATGGGGAGAGATTTTTTAAACTGTCTGATGTGGATACAACCGGGATAACACTGAAATTAATGGTCATTCAAGAAGCAATTATGATATTTGGGCTTGATTGGAAATGACGGATTCTTCCGAATTCACTAGCAATTTTTCATGGGAACGATGAGGTCTTAAAGCTGTTTTTTTTTGTTTGGGGGGGGGTAGCCTATTTTCAAAGTGATAGTAGCAGACAATAGATGCCATCGATTCTGGTCTCAAGCTGAAGTTAGGTAGAACATCTTCAGGAAAAACCCGGATGGTCCTTAAAGTTGATGCGTTTCGGGTTATCTCCCACCCCATGGCTCGCCATGGATCATTAGGGACTCTGCCAGTTGTCCACAAAAATCACCGGTTGGTAGTTCAAGATTCATGGCTTCTCCACTCCTTCCAGCTTTGAGTTTGAAGTTACAAGAATTTTTGGATTCTGCAATCAGGGTTTCTGATCCTGTAGAGGTCAACCCATAGATTGAGCAAAGGTGAACGTCTCATTCTCCTAGGTTTGCAACACCTGAATCAGATGATGTCTGAAGATGATATCAATGATATCCTCTAGCGGTCGATATTTCAATGCGACGTTGCACCCCTGATTCAAATCCATACCCCATTTTTCCATCAGAATTCTTCGCAACACACAGCATTTTTGTTGGACAAAGCCACCATTTTGGGTTTTCGACCCCAACGCCTGTCAGCACTCCCTTCCAACTGTGACAGGTCGGGGCCCGCGCGGGACGTTTGTCGCGTGTGCTGCGCTTCCTGCGCTTTCTGCCCTTCTTGGCGGGCGGCGACAAACAGGACGAGAACCAGCCGGGGGCCCCAGGACCCCAGGACATTCCCAGACCATCTGATGGCATCCAATTGGATTGCGTAACAAAGCCGTGAAATCCCAACTCGTCACTTTGCAGTGGGTTTTTCGCAGTGTTGAAATCAGAGAATTCCCAGCATTTTCGTTGGATTAAAAACTATATATGAATCCACCTTCAAATTTCAGCTACGAAATGGGGAGGACTTGGGCTACAGTACAGATTGCCAGCCAGGATTTTTTTGTACAAACAGGAGGGGTTGTGCCCCCCATTTTGTATTTGGAATCATTTTGTAGTTGATTCCTTTCAAATCATCATTTTCATTTTGTAGTTGTATATGTTGAGTTAGTTGAAGCATCCAACATAAAATTTCATTAGCATTTTGTAGTTGTACAAGTTGAATAGTTGAAACATCCAACATTAAATCGCATTTGCATTTTGCATTTGAAGAGGTGAGAAGAGGTGGAAAAAAGGAAACAGTGCGTGACATGTATATGGACACAAACAGATCATGAAGCTACAGAATGCCATCTAACAAACTGCACGGGGTCAACACTTGATCCAACTAAATTCAATCATTAACAACTACAAAATGTTCTCCGAATTTATGTTGGTCGGAACTTTGGATGGCAAAGGCCCAACTACAAAATGTCATTGGGAAAAATCATGTTAGCAATTCCGACGTTCAGCTATTTTTTAACTTCAGATGCATTGGATTTTGTACTACTGGTTTTGAATTATTTTCCGAGCCAGAAAGAGTTATTTTCTTCATTTTGTAGCTGCAAAAAAAGCAACACGCACTGCATTTTGTAGTTGTGCACCCTATGCATTCCGCTTTGTATCTACCAAAACCATCTGCACAACTCCTCCCCCCTTATCTGAACCCTGATATATATGATCACTTTCGATATCATATCATAATTATAGATAATTTCTAACTATTTCATCCCATTTCTCCCATTTTTTCCTGGCTTTTGTGGCTCGTTGCTTCGATGATCAGGACCGGAATTGCCTCGATGATCTCAGGGCAACTGGCCAATCTGCTAGGGCCCAAGGGCTCTGGGGAACCTGGTATTACCAACTTAATAAGTTGTGGTTGATATGACTTGTTATGCTATGTTATGGTATGTATAAACATATATATATATATTATTATATATTAGTATATACTAAATTAGTATATTTATATATACTGTATATGGGATGTAAACAACATTACATTATGTATATACACAAATATCTGGGTATAATAGGGGATAGTGAGGAAACATAGTGGTTGTATAATGGAATATAATCAATCACATCCAACAATTAGAGTTTATAACTCCAATAGCAGCTGTTGACTTGTAGATCTAGAGATATTAAACTAGCTTCATTTCTTGAGGTGATAAACCAACATAGCTCAGGGGCACTACCGGAGATATCCGGAGGGCTACGTCGTTTCAGTTTCCCAACCATCGTTGGCCTTCACCCAGCACGTCGCTGAGGGTCGCGACGCGCGTAGCCTGTCTCACCATTATTTTGGTCATGGCTCAGTCCTCAGCGGTGTTGAACATGGTGTTTTGTACATGTTTGTACCATGACTGTATAGGGAAACTATGATAAACCAACGATGTTTGGGACATATGATATATACATATATGTGTATAGACATATACATATGTATATATATATATATATTATTCAATATATATATGATTCAATTATCTATATGATAATAATAATTATTATTGTTATAATTATTATCATTTATTATTATTATTGTTATATATATGTACTGTATATGTACACACACACACGCAAACTTTTCAGACAAACCCATAAATGTTTCAGGGTGTGACCTACTGTAGCCGCAATTGAACAGCCTGGACGTCCCAACTTTGGAGGCCGCAATAAGATTTTCGATCCCAGTGGGGTCTGACTCCTTCGGTCAAGGTGATTCCTCTCTTCGACATTTGGACATTTCCACAGTCGGACCCAGGGCGGGGTACGTTGGGGCCGCTGCTGGTTGCCAGCAGCTTGCACCAATGACGTGGACGCAGATTTTTTTGTCATCCCCAGTTCTACATATGCCTTGGTTGAGGGGGAGTTCCAATAAATGAATTATAATTATAAGAATCAGTTCTTAAATTTCCAACATTTTTTCACCACTTGGTATCTTTTTGTCTGAAATGATAAGAATTACCAGATGGTACTACCACTATGGTTGTGTAAAACATCGTTTTTCACCATGAAGCACGGGCCTTGCTACCAGGACTACTCCTTGCAGACATGGGTCAACCGTCTCTCAGTGGACGTCTTAGACCAGAGGCCAGCGGGCATCGGGGTGCCATCTGGGAATCTGTTGGATTCCAGCTCCCTCTGGCCGCAGGAATGACGATGTCATGGCTGAGTTAAATCTGATGAAGGCTGGCTCGGTGTGTCGACCTCACCGCGAAAATGAGGTTCTTTTTGAACTTTGGAGGAACCCATGAATTTTCTACAGCATCTTTGTAGACAGGTTTGGAATCTAAGGATGAAGTAAATTACCCACTTAATTGGGTGAAACCATGGTTTCAACCCTTCGAGTAAATTTATTTCGTGACCTCAAAACGACCGGTGGTTGAATGCCACCATCAATAGGGAGTGCCACCTCAACTTTTTTTTTTGTTGTCCTGCAAGGACAGTCCAATATTTGCCCAACAAAGATGAGTCAGATGGATGTTTTCATCACAACACTCGATGAGTTGAGCCATGAGAAATTATGGCATGTTGACCTGAGAAACATGGATTGAAACCTGGATTCACCAACAAACATAGAGGAAGCCTACCACGAGACACATAGAGACATAGAGGTTGCCCAGTCCATTGAGGGCATGACAGCAGATTCCAACAGACCAAGTGGCCCATGGACGTCCAGCTGGTAGCGATGATCAATGCCAACCAAGGCTTCCTCTAAGTTTATATATATAATATATATATATAATTTGATGCAACAAACATCAACAAACATCAACAAACATCAACGTACATCAACAAACATCAACAAACCATCAACAAACATCAACTGACATGCTCCATGTATGGAGTATTCACCACTTTGTTTCTCCAAAAGTGGGCCAGATGTTGGTAGACAATTGGTACAATGGAGCCAAAGGCTGTAGTTGAAGCTCCGATCAAGATATCTTTGCAATACGGATGCTCCAGGTACGTGAAACCTCACAATTTCCGAGATGTGCATTTGGAGTTGTAGGAAAATATGATTATGATGCTATATTATACAAAAATATATCTATACACAGATACTTATGTAATATGATAGCACAGATATGTATATATATATACACATTGCCCAAGAACGCCCCATTCCCATTCCATCGGTGATACCACTACGCTGCCAGGACTTCTACTCCCGACATGCCTGACCCCGAGTGATGGAAGGTCTTGGGCACAAAAAGGGGGGACCAAAGTCCTTTCAACACGTTTTAAAACCAACATATTTGCAGTATAGTTCATCACATTTCCACATGACTCTTCATATTTCCCTATTTTGACTTAGATAGTATAAACCATTCCCAAATGGCTGGTTTATGACAGTGTTTTACCCACATGATTGCCTTAATAAAATCAATCAGGACCCTTTTTTTTTTGGGTCCAACTTCCTCCGCGAAAGTGTCCAAGGACTACGGCCCCTACTCTGCGTGTATCGGCGTTGAATCCAGAGACTCTGACGGTGCGGCGGCCGAGAGTCGTCGTCTCGAGACTCTCTCGGTGGATTTTCGGAGACGGACATCCGTGGCTTTGCGGTTTGGAACATCATCTACATTCATGAATATGGCTATATCATGGAATATATATATATATATCATGGCTTATCTACATCATCTACCATCATATATTCATGTTATATATATATATTGCTAGCTAAAGGATGCTAAAGGACGGTATATGGATGTGGAAAGTTAAGAAAGGGTAGGTCCAGAGTTCAATGACGATACATGGATAGTAAAAGGAGGGTCAATGGACAGTTAAAGGATGAGTAGGTGGATAGTAATATACACAACTGCAATGGACATGAATGGACAGTCAAACCATGGACGGCACAAATTGAACTGGATAGGATAGCCAGTAAAGGGATGCCTATGACCAAGTGTCACAACCCTATCCGACTGAAATGGATTGTTAAAGGCTGGTAAACTAACAGCAAATCCACTATTTCTATGGCCATTTTCAATACCTATGTTAGTTTACCAGAGGGTAAAGGATGGTAAATGGATTATGACTCGAAAAGTCCGGGATATCTCAGGGATTCGGCACTGGAAACACTGTGATCGGATCATCAATCCATCACTGCCCACAGTTATGGCCCGAAAAACCAGGGATGTCGTCAGTGTAAAAGAACCAACATATGGAATGTATAACACTGACTCATGGTTATGGTAACTGATGTCGAAACCATCGGAAATGTACAGTAACTGATGTCTGGCTGGTTTCTGATGTCGTTGTGTAACCCCATTAAGAACCATAAGCATCACTGATTCTCACTGCTTTCTTGAAAGCTGCCGGGTGCCAGGCAACAAGCAGTTCACCTGCACCACCGACAGCACGGGGATCGCGGGGCAAGTGGCCTTGTGGAGCTCGGGACGCGCAGGCGACGTCTCGCTTGGGGATGTGAATGGGATTATAATGGGATCATAATGGGATTATAATGGGATTATCATCATGGATAAGAAACAATCATGGGGATGGAAAGCATCAGTAGATAATTATACCAACTACTGATCTACTGTATGTCACGATTCTTTGGTGATTTTGTTGGTGGTTGATGGCTTCGGTGATTGTTTTGGTGATTTGTTTTGATGGTTGATGGATTGGCTTTTGGTGTTTGTTTTCATGTTGATGATGGTTTGCAGCATTTGTTTTTGGGCATATTTTTAGGACTCTCCAAGAATTGTCATTTCGATTTTGGTGCTTAATCTGCCCCTCAAAACTCAATGCAGAACTCCATCGACTTCAAGGCAACTGCGGGCAACCAATGAATTACTCGCTGGCTTATTTGGGTATGGTTTATGCATGTTTATGCCACAAAATTATGGTGAGGTGATGACGACTGGGGATTGTTGATGTGATGTGAAAATGACAAAATGCCACCTCCGGTCGCGCACCAAAGTCAGTCCGAACAACCGTCCGCGGCTGCGCCAGCACCACCACGAATGTCCTCAGTGTTGCTGGTGTTCAACCAGAACTTTCAGGCTGGGCGCACGGGGGACTTGCGACTGATGGGTCTTAGAGTGATGTTGTATGATGTTGTCATATTTTCTCGGTTGCATCAGTTGCATCGGTTGCATTGAGAATATTTTGCTTGACATGGTCAATGTGGCTGATACATGGTTGAAATGTTTGCTGGCCATTCTCAAAGGGTCGAATAAGATCTGATCTAAGCTTATCTTGTAATCTTGTCAAGGGGTCTGACAAAATCATTTGGTTGGTGGTGACAAACATGGCTCCGCGAAAGACGGGTTTACGGCTTAAGGCTTAAACGTGACATTATTCCAGGACTGCACAACCAGGCAACTGCACATTTGGTTGCATTTGTCCCAAATTTGGTGACCCAGTATCAACCAGACAGATATGTTTGATCCTGATAAAGACATCAAGCAACATCAAATCTCGGAAGTTTTCATGAACTTCTATCAAGGTTTCTCAACCAAAGTATATCCACAAGTGGGGAGAACTGGAGTATTTTCCCTCTTTTCTTTTTGCCCAATTTACCATCCAGCCCTCAGGTGCAGGTGAATATGCACGTGCCGAAACAAGTGGAGGCTGGGTCACCAGCAGCCTGTAGGTTTATGGACCCGTCTTAATAAACCTACCATGACTGGGGGTGACTGGATGATCATTTGGATGCCCATGAGAGTGAGAAGCCGGGTGCCAGATGGGATGTGGGGAAAACTGGATGTGAGAAGTTAATCTCTTGGCACCCCAAATGGCCGATGTCAGGTCCCCGTGCTGCACGGACAGTTTCGGCCGTGATTTTTCATCCCATCCCCCAGGACGGCACCATAACCTGAGACAGGCTGGCTTCAGTATGGGGACCATGGTCTTCATCATCATTATCATGGATACCTGGCAGCAGATCTGGCGCAAAAAAACTGGTTTTTGAGTTGTGGCGTTGTCTGAAATTTGTGCTTGAACACCTCTCAATCTCAATCCATGGCTGAATCATCATTAGCCTTTTAAAATTGGACATTTGGGGGGTACATTTTCAGACACACCCGAGTGGCCTTGAAGGGACCAAAGTGACCAACGGGAGAGTTTTCGCTTCTTCAGGAGGTTACATGAAAAGATACCAACAGCTTTCCCCTCTGCAGGAGTTGGCGGGCGGTCGACAAGGTCTGAATCAACGTTTGGAACACCTGATATGGGGGTTCCCTAAGTCATGGGGGTACCCCCATAGCTGGATGGTTTCTTTCATGGAAAATCCGAAAATAAACATGGATGATTTGGAGGTACCCCCATATGACAACTATTCCCAATATAATCCATTAACTGCCTAGAATTCAATAGAAATATCACCATAGACATTTATAATCCGTAGATATATAGCAATCATTAATATATATATATAATATCACCATTAGATTATGACAATATCTCATTATATTCCAATTGTATCCCAATTCCCATCATATTCCCATTATTTTCCCAAACAAGATTACTCTATGGTTAATGGATAATACTGTATATTTCATGGATAGTGGAATATTCTAATGGAATATTGGGGGAATATAACCAATGATTGATGGATACTATGTATATATATATAATAACCATATTATATGGCTATCCAATCATGGTATATAGTAATAGTATCCCAATAATCCCATGGTATATATCACCATTACATTTCGATTATATCCCATCATTAATCCCATTCGATGGACATTCCCATGAAGATTCTCGGAGGCCGATAGCTAAGTTGGTGAAGATCAACTCCAAATGGGGTCATGTTTTACCCCTCCAGTATATTAAAATTAATTAATATGGAGTTATCAATGTTAAACTGAAACTGAAGTATATTAAGTGTAACTGATAACTTGTTTTTTATGGATTTCTATGTTAATTATCAGTTACCCCTCCAGTATATTAAGAGTTCGACCCTGGCAGATAGGGCTTGGACGCTGAGTTTCGATTTTCAGGGTCTATGTGAATTTACCAGAGGCCAAATAATTATTAAGTCCCATTTAAATCCCATTAAATCATAATAAATCCCGTAAAGTCCCATTTAATCGTGAGTTATCCCATTAAATCAGTTAATGGTCTTAAGTTGATCAATACCACTAATCCCATTACTTATCCCAAGAACAGTTCCCATTAAATCAGTTAAGCAACTTCTTGATCTCAGGTTTTCTGTGGCCTAGCCTTGTCCAGCGTGGTGACCGACCTGGCGGTACCTCGAACTGGGACCTGGCAGTTCAAGTTGTGACGATTTTGGGCCATTGTTCAGTGACCATTTCAAGGGTTCAGTGACCTCAAACCAGGGGAGATCTCATAGGTCACTTTGAATGGTCTGGTATGGGATGTTCATAGGATTTTCATGGGATGTTGATGGGATTTTGATGATTCACCAGTGGACTTTAGAGCTACTAGTCCTGTAAAACCCATGGGTTTTAGGGCTGAAACCAACGGATTTCGGGGCTAAAGCCAAGCAATTTTCCGGAAGAAATAGGGATTTGACCAGCAAAAACATGGAGATATATCTACCCTCTGGTAAACTAACAGTTTGCTATGGAAAATCACCATGTTTAATGGGAAAATCCACTATAAATGGCCATTTTCAATAGCTATGTTAAATTACCAGAGGGTAGCAGAACTAGGGATTGATGATGATGGACATGTGAGGTGGATATATCGATCGTCAGACGGGGTAACAAAAACGACCTCATTTCTCTGGGGGACCTCCTTGTATAATTTACGGATGGGTTATACCGTATACCAGGTGACACCTGCTTCTGGGGATTTTGTTTCACCATCCGCAGTAACCCAACCCCCAACTGGGGATGGTTCTTGAGAGAAAAAATGACAAGTTGAGGCAACAAGATTTCGTCGAGTTTTTTTTCTCCCCATTTTTTCCATTTTATGTAAGCTTGAACTGATTTCAACAATGACGTCAAAGTAGTGCCGCTGTTTTTCAAATAGCATCGCGTTGCATTGTTTTTCTGGGTAATTCTGAAGTATTTTTGACCTTTTCACATCTTTTCACACCATCCTTGGATATGTCAATGTCACCACATGTCACCACTTCACTTCACAACGCATCCAGCGCATCCAGGTTTCCCGACACCTTGACAGATCCGTGTTCACGTGTTTGACGTGTTTGGTGTTGGGGATTTGAAAGGATCAACACCAACCAGTCGTTGAACCAGTCGTTGATGATTGTCCAAATTGGTCCAACATCCCCATGGGTTTAGTTGATTATAGATGATTATAGTTGATTACCACAGTTACCCCTCCATCTTATCCCAAACAGATTGTGCTCGCCATTAATAATATCCACCAAATTAATATAGACCCGGAAAATAGCCAAGTTTGAGTGGAAACTAGTCTTTCAACCCTCTATTTGGCAGGGTCTATGTTAAATCACTGGAGGTTTGCTCAAAACCCACCATGATCGCTTGTTGGATCACCTACGTTCCCACTCCACGGTTGAGTTATATGATAGTTAAGTTATATGGGTATGGATCAATACCTATAAATACCATTTTTAGTGGGATGAACATCCATAAATCCCAGCTATTTTGATGTGAACTACAGGGGTACAAGGTTTTGACACACTGCCATATGTTCACCAGCATTCCAACGAGTTCCACAACTCACCACGAACGATGACTTCACAGGTGCGTCCCCTGGAGCGCATGCTGGGCACGGTGCGGAAGATCGCCAGTACGGTCTTCAAGTTCAGTGCCGAGGCGCGGGATTGGGATGGGCTAATGGGACTGGAAGATCCAGCATATTTTGTTCCATGATCTCCGAAAAAAAAAGGATCAATCAACAAAAACACGGATTTTCATACGTGAGCAGAAAAAGGCGAAAATTCATGGGTCAACCGATTGGATGGGTAGTACTATGTACTAAGACTAAGGGAAATCTCTTGCTATAAATGAAATTATCATACGTATTAGACTCATCAGCTAGAGCTGTTGTTTTTTTTTCTTCTTGCAGTTTATCTTTTGAGTGTATCTAGGATTGGACAGGTGTTTACACGTGTTTAAACCACCAAAAAAAGGGGGAAGCTGGTTTTCAGGAGGATGTCAGAGTCAAGCAGATGGAACAGATACGTTGCGTAGTTTGTCATTTGGTATCCATAAAAAGATGAACACATACCAAACAAATCTATTAGATAAAAAACATGTGCTTAATTTGAGGGTCTAGGTAATTACAGATGTATTTAGCTTGGTGTTCAGTTGTGCTTCCGATTGGTGCTTTTTTGGTTCGGTCCTTTCTCTTCGATCCAAACTGTAGCTGGGTATTGCTCGCTTGGACACTAAGCCGATTGAAGCCGAAGCCGATTGAAGCCGATTTAGCTCAAAAGTTGAGAAGTCTGTTCTCTTACAAAATTATCTCCATCCGATGCGGCGACTCGTGACCGTCCTATGCCTGGCGACCTGGGCGACCTGCGCGACTGGCACTCGTCCAGCAATGATGCACCAGCAGGCTGTTTCCGAAGGGGCTTCTGCAAAGGTTGAAGAGACGCAGAGGAGCAGGGCAGAAAAAGTTTGTCAATACTCAATACATGCCAATAATACCAAGTAAAACATCGATTTGTGTTACATCCCAATCCAACAACCATTCGGATGCAACATTCTTGGATGTTTTGGTTTTCCAATACATCCGACTTGTATAGTGCTCGTGATACCCGGTAATCCTTTTCCAACCGATGACCCTCCTTACCTTTCCCCTTACAGAAAGATTTGGAAAGCACAGGTTTAGTGGGCTTGAACAAATTGGAGGCCGGGTTGGAGGTATTTGATTCTTTAGGTACTCAAGCCGGTGATAAAAAATCAGGACTGAGATGGACGAGACGACCCAGCACAAATGCTGCGTCTGTGACCTTTCCTGGGGAAGTTGCAAAAAGGGGAGCTATGGCTATGCCAAGCGCAGCTCAGCGACGCTTGGTTTCCATTTCGACTGGGTCGCGGGGGGGCTGGGAATTTACCAAGACAGAGATCCATGAGCAGCGGGGTAAGATGCAAGGTGAATGGCTGGTTACATTTTAATGGGTTCCTTGGTTTACTTTATACTTCATGCATTTTGATGCCACGTTTTGATGATTTGGACATTTGATAGCCTGCTTAAACTCTCAAAAGTCTCTCTGAATTTGGTCAGATAAGACTGGCCATGCGAACGACCTTTTCATCCAGTCACGGGGAAGTCGGGCACCTGTCTTGAAGATGCCCAAAATATGCAGGGTCATGTAGGGTCTATGCAAGGCCTCAGTAAGAACAGACGTACTCGTACCTCAATGTTGCCTAAAAGAGGCACAGTAGCTCAGTTGTGATTGTTGAGGATCTCTCAACCCCTGAAATAAATGTGGATACCAATAGCCATAGCCATAGCCAACTGCTGAGTAAATTCCAATTTTTGTTGCTGACATTTGCTGACTAGAAATTGCTGCTTGAATGTCCTTCGTTAGCAACACCCGTATTCTTTCTGATCCAGCCTTTTGTTGTCGATTATCTCAAGGAAAACCAATATATTCAATTCATTTTGACCTGAACTTCAATCCCAATCACCCATGGAAATCCTGGAATCCGATCATTGAACTGGCTGGCTTCCCCCATTTTACCCCCCAAGTCCCCCGCTATGCATCGCTATGCATCGCTATGCCCCAAGGACCCAAAAATGCAAAAGTATCTGCGGCCTGACGCAGCGCTGCTGGGACGAGGACCCGGCGAAAGATTGCAGCGAGATGGGCATGTGACGCATGTGACGCATGTGACGCGTTGCGGTGATCCCGAGTTGAGCCGACCCGGTGACGAAACCGTCGCGGTGAAAAGCGCTGGGGGCTGGGATATGGGAGATGTATAGAGATGTAATTAATGAGATGTAATGAGAGGTATGGAGATATCATGAGATATCTGTTTTTGAAGCTCCTGCTGGGTGGAGAATGATCCCATTTTCGCATACATTTGCACATTGAAGCCAGGGTTAGTCAGCGGTTCCTACTGAACAGGGGTTGTTGAAAGGTTGTTGCCGGATGTGACATCCGTTTCCCGCTTTTCCTCCTTGGATTGGCGTCATATTTCTGCAGACATTTTGGGGCACCACTACTATATAAACAGCTATACACCCTGAACATGTCGCTTTAATTTCTGTGAAATTCCAGTGGGCACCTCATTTTGCAGATTCAATTCGAGGAAAAAACAAAGAATGGATGTTGGCCTGAAACGGGCAAGCAAATTGATGAACATTGTTTATTGAAGTCTCTTCGATCCTCAACACATGGAGGAATTGCAATGACTTCCTCTCGTAATTTTAATTGAACATTTTAAAATCCATGAATTTCACGGATTTTTCCGTGAATTTCTTAATTCTATGCTTGTGTTTTTTTCCTCCATCATTTCGCCTTCTCCTTATCCAACTTGACCACGGGAGGTGGCGGCAGAACAGAATGATGAAGAGGTGCGGGCCCGTGGACACCATTCGAGGGAAAGTTGGGGGCTGGTGAAAATCGGGGTCTGAACGCCTTCCAAAAGAGGGTATTTGGAGCACCAGGGAGGATGTTAACGATGTCAACCGGTGAAAATTGACGGGGAAGTTCACGAATATATACAACATCGTGGCTTTGGGGGGATATCACTGCAGTAAACATGAACAGGGTGGTTCAATTATTCATAATTAGTCTGTGCGAATCGAGAATGGGAGCGCGCGTAGGAAAATCAGTTATAGTTACTGTATATTCCTCATAAACCCTACCCTCTGGTAATTTAACATAGCTATTGAAAATGACCATTTATAGTGAGTTTTCCCATTAAAAATGGTGATTTTCCATAGCTACGTTAAATTACCAGAGGGTAGTTTTCCCCTCGCCATGAAAAAGGCGGGAACGGTTCAGCAGGTCGGCCACCAATACAGTGCCATGGTCATGAAACAAAGGGATTAATAGGGTATAGTCACGTCATCACATTTCGTTTGGACATCATGACATATTATTAAGCATATATACATATATATATACATATATATATAATATATACTTATGAGTAACTTAACAGCATATATATCTGTATATATATGTATATATATATATGTATATATATACAAATAGATTAAAATACATAGATAAATGCATGAATAAATAAATCAATATATATATATACACTGTATACTACTATTTGCATATTATAAAAACCACTTATTTCCCATGTGACTTGGCATAGGCATAGTAGAGATAGAACATGAACGTCTTCAATAGCCATGACCAGTTGGGCGGCTGGGCAGAAAGTCTCCAGTGAAAACGCGGAGGATTTTTTTTCGCCGAATTTACAGATAGGGGATATCACCTCCTCCCTGAACCCAAATCATGAAGTATAGATAAGTATAGTAGTATTCTTAGTATAGATACATCTTCCATAGACCTTAGTTAAATCTAGATAACACATGTTTCCCATTGAATTTTCCCATCCCCTGGGCCGTTTCCCCATGTTGTTTCAACGATAACCCCAACGGGCCGCCGTTTCCCCTTTCTCCGTCACGTGTAGAGGTGACGGATATTGACAGTTCCAATGAGATGAAACTCTTGGAGAAGGCTTCCCATTGGTGGATGAAAAAAGAAGGGTTTGTTTGAGGAAACCCCTGAAAAAGCAACTTAAGTACATGATGATAGATGGGATTAACCATAGGATCCATAGGTTTGTGGAGTTGAAGACTTACTCTACGTTTTTGTGTCTGTTTTTTTTTTCCAACCATCAGAGGGTTGGATGGGGCAAAGGGGCACCATGGTCATATGGGGATATGACCATCATCCCATGATCCTTCCCGGATTGGTTTTGTTGGGAAAATCTTCACCGGACACCATCGATTTTCCCATGATTGGATCATGGGGCTTTCCTGTAACATTTCCCTTACGCCAATCCATTGAATAGATGGCGAATAGAATGATCAATGAATGATATGAGAATGGACGTAAATGAGCAAAGCAATTGATATGAAACGTTCCTGATCAGCTGAAACACGCAATATCTCAATTTCGATGTCGGATGTCCGACTCAGCCATCGAATTGTCTGAAAATTGGAGAGTTTTTGCCCCCAATTGATTTTTTTTTTTTCGGGGTGAAAGATGGTTCACCAGCAGATTTAAGGAGTTTCCCATAATCTTCAGAGACACAAAAATATCTATGCATGGCGATCCAAAAATGAGGTTCCAACGGACCCAATTTCATGGTGAGTTTGGAGGATGTAGATCTTGGACAATGATTTTATCACAGCTGGGATGCTGGAAGATCCGCCCCTTGGCTCCTGAAGGAGAAGCCATCAAATCTTGAGCTACATCTTCTGCTGGGCAAAGTTTTTTTTTATTTAATCTGTCGATTTAAATCTAAACATGCATCCATCTATCTACCTATCTATCTACCTATCTATCCATCTTTCTATCTTTCTATCTAATACAAGAAAACATGTGTCTCTAAAATGCCAAGTTGTACCTGCGCTTCACCGGTTTCGTTTCCCAGTGCAGGTGGTGCAAAAGCTGGCGATCATTGCAGATCTTCAGACCGCACGCGCGGTGCCGGATGAGACCGAGGAGGGCCCTGCGAAACCTGCAACCGGGAGAAATGGTAAATATCAATGGGATATCTATATTATAATGGATGGGATATCTATATTATAATGGATGGGATATAATACCAAAGTATGGGAATATCTATAATCATGGACAGAATTTAACTTGGTATTTACCATACTTTGGATTGTCTATATTGGGATTAAGCAACAGTTTATGGATCTACAATGGATGTATATGTATATTATATATATATAGATAAAACCAACAAGTCTGGAGAAACCAACTGGATGAGTACTTCAGCGCTAACTGCAATTTGCAGTACCCAGCTGGAGCGTATTTTGGACGTGAATGAAAATAAAAAGGCCACAACTTATATAGACTTATATATATAATATAATGTATATACAGTATGTAAACCCTCACACTGCATTTCCGAACTATCTAGTCTGTCTCAGATGATTCACAGATTCAGCAGCGCTCCAGTTCGCTGCTGTTTGGTGAAGATATCCATCCCTTTTTGGCTCACCCGTGACCACCCTGGAAATCGATGGGTTTACGATGGGTTTATGATGGTTTATGATGGTTTATGAAATGCAGATCTTAACCACCAAGAAGCCAAAAATTCTTGGGGGTTATTCAGCCCAACAATCTTACCATTTATAAGCCTAACAAGTGCCGGTTTTGTTTTCTGCCCTTACCATTACTAACCATGGTTAATCACCACTAATAAGCTTACCATTAATAAGCCGAACCATCTTACCACTTTTTTCAGCCTTAGTATTAATGACCATTAACATCCGTTTTTCTACCCAGTAATACCCATCATCCAGCATTAACCATTAAGAAGTCCGTTGGAAAAAACCATGGCTGGTCGCCAAAACCATGTCGCGAGCGGTTGCCACTGGACGCGCGCTCTCAGGACATGCGCGATGAAGATCTGGGAATTCTCAGCATGATGCACGGCGCCAATATCACAAAGAGCAAGGCGCGGCTGCAGCGAAAGCACCGGTTGTTTGATGTGGAAAGTTGGGAACTGGACGATCTCCCCGTGGCCGAACTAAATGGAGACTGAGTTTGTGGAAATCATCGAACTAAGGGGAGGAATTTCATTTGCCAAGTTGGATTACCGGAGGGTGGGATACACTGCAAATTCTGACTAGTGGAAGACATGCCAAAACATGGGATTTGGGACTATTGGTGATTTCTTATTGGATGTAACTGATTTCTTACAGCAGCCACATTTTCACCCAAAAATGGATGATGTGGAGATGGCAAAAAGAATTGCCGCCATCTTTTCATGGTCTTCACCGGGGTTTATTAGGCCCCCAAAAAATCCACGTGGCTCACCGAGCAGATCCAATTTTTCATGCGGGAGATGCCCATGAATTTTTGGTGATCCAATGATCCAATGATTCCATTTGCCATCTCCAGTTCTTTCTTGGTGAGTAGTTAGAAACCATTTTCGAAATTCTAGAAGAACTAACTGTAACTAACTGGAAAAATGCTTGGTTCATCTGTTAGAAATACTCACCAACTGAATTAGTAAAATTCCCTGGAATAAACAGTCTGAACTGAATCGCTGCATCGCTCAACAAAAACGGTCCCCACCTGGGCACTGGCTGCCAGGGACGACAGACACGCAGACCTTCGCAGACCACGGCGAGGAAAAAGGTCAAAGCCCAAGGAACCCCGCTGTTTTTCACACGAACATGGCCGAAAATTGCGGTACACACCATTGTCAGACACACCCAACTGGTAAATCTCAGTGTCTTTCCCCAAAAATGGGGATTCGATCTCGTAAAATGGTAAGTTCACCACGAACGGGTTGGTGCAAATAGCAGGCTAAATTTTCGTGATGGGCAGTTGAATACTTTCATGTTTTGCCATTTTGATGGGAATGTATACCAACCAGATAAAAAAGAATGCACGGTATCTAGATTGCCCATGTTAAAACTGGGACCGCAAAAATTGGATGGATCAATACTAGAAGATGACCGATTGGGATGATTTTGGGGCAGCCCATTTTATGAAAACACCAGGCTGGTTACATTGCAAATCGATTTTCATCATTGAAAACTGCCATTTCAACAGTGAAACTGAACTTTAGGGTGAACACCCTATATTTGTTGAATTTTATGCATTTATAGATGATTTCCCGATAAACTCCCAAGGAAGATAGTAGACTTCCCAGCCACGTTTGATGATCAGCAGGGTATCTTCGGCCCAAGGGGTTAGGCAATCGAAACCAAGGCCATTGGTGTTCCACAAGTGCGCCTTGAAGATTTTGGAGTGTCCCAGGAGGCAGTGGGGCTGGGCCATGGGGGTACCATTGGGTACCCCAACTGGGATTGGTCAGTCGACCTGTGGTTGCTTGGCCTTGAATTTCCATCATCATCCCAGTGAGCTATCCTAGGTGGCCGAGCCCACATTGATCTTTGACCATGTTTGACCATGTTTTAGTGAAATGGTGACCGACCGTTTGCGGCCAGATCTTTAATTCCTGGTCCTTCAATTCTTTGAACCTCTCCAAGTCCGGGAGCCCGGCACGCCGGGCTCACCTTGGGTGGCTCAACCACCAGCATCCACCAGCTATCTATTCACCTGGATTAGTCGATCCCAGATTTGAATGGTGTTTAGCCATGCACTGACTTTGAGTTTTCCATAATTTTCTTCTATTCATTATCCGCCATAGAGATCTTTAGAGTTTGCAACCCCCAAAAGGCAGTTCGTAAAATCAACCTTGAGCAGCAACCGGGACACACATTCATTTTGACTCATGGATGGTAGCAACCAATTGTGCATCAACACCATTGTGAACTAACCACAAATCATCAGTATCCATTCCCTTGTCAGGGGACAAGAACCCAAATTCTATGGTTTTGAACACCGTATTCCCATTAACATCGTGAACATTGCCGTAAAGTGAGGATAAACCCACCATTTCTGAAGCCGTGTCTACCCTTTGTTACACATTTAGTCTTCCAACGACCGAGGAACCAACGCGTGAATTTGGCGGTCTACACCGTCTGCAAGTTCCACGAGGATGGCGAGGGCTTTGTGAACACGGGGGACGAGGTGCGGGGTCCGTTCCAGTGGTACGGCGATACATCTTCGATGGGGTGGCACCCGAAAAATTGGGGGTTTCGTCAACAAAAAATGAGGGGTTTACCGGCTGGTCATTGATAGGTGACCAATGGGCTACCAGTTTGAAAAAAAATTGGGATTTGACAACCAGCCAAGCACGGAGACATAGCAACCAGGGGACTTGACCAATCCAAAATGACGATTTTGGGAACATGGGACTGAGTCAATGGAATGACATGTTCGTGATTGGAGGGATTACCCTCCAGTAAACATAGTAAACTAACATAGCGATTGGAACATCACCATTTTCATGGGTAAAACATCTGAATCTATAAATGGGTCATTTTCCATAGCATTTTCCATAGCTATGTTAGTTTACCAGAGGGTAATTAACATGGATTTCACCAGCCATGGTGACATGGTGAGATTTGCTCAGCTAGGTGGCCATGTTCCAGCGTTTTACCACCGCGGTGGAGAAGGAATACCTGTGCCTTGGTGAGATCGATCGCAGCCCTGGGACCCCGGGACCCTGTCGCATGGATTCAACGTTGGTAAAGAAAAAACATGGGTCATTAAATGTCCCCATTGAACATCACCCAACCATTAGGTATATGGTCTATAATGGCTACTATAAGGTGATGTCCAATATACCCAAAATGGGACAGTTACCAACCCCTGAAAAATAATCCATCTCCAATTTTTATCATAAATGCTCGGCATAACTATGTATAACTTATAACCATCAACATTTGGGTGGTTTATTGTTGCTTTACCAACGTTAACATAATTTAAGCGTTTGAGATGGGGATATTCAATGATGTCAATATCTATACCTTTCATGGTGATTTTGGTATATAAGAAAGCAATGATTTGGTTGATGGGTTTTTAGCACGTTACATCCCATTAAAAAACACCGAACTTGTTGTTTTCTTCGTGGTTGACAGGTTTGAATGATCTTGAGACAGATGGATACAAACGGAGAATTGCCTCCACTGTCGCTCAATTGAATTGTTTTCTTCAAGAATTGAATCTAATTCTGGAAGTGACTCAGTATTAATCATGATTTTGCCCTGATTGTTGCCAGACCCGCAAATGGACTGTTTTGACTTTCCCAACTCAGGGAATGGCAGGCTCAACCATCAGCTATCCAGGAAGTTTGGGATGATACTGTATGTTCGAAGACTTCGCCCCTTTTTTGAATGGATTACCCTTTGGTAATTTATGGTAATTTAACATAGCTATTGAAAATGTCCCATTTATAGTTGATTTTCCTATTAAAGATGGTGATTTTTCCATAACTATATTAAATTACCAGAGGGTATATTGTTCTCCCAGCACTTTTATAGAAGACTTGATCAATCCAAACAAAGGATTTCTTGAAAAAAGTGATGGGAGAAAGCGTCATTAGTGATATCAGATCCCCACATTTTCACTGGTGTTGGTGCTTTCAAATCTTTTCGACTTCTGATCAAATTAAAAGAAACATGAGCTGAGGTGGCCTCATTTGTTTTTTATTTCCCTGAACCCATTTTAACACTCCATAAATCCGCAAATCAGGACGGCGAATCAAATTTTCGATTGGATGCTATTGTAACCACAAAATTGCGGAACAGAAACCACGATTCAAGCACTGGAAATTGATGGGACCGTGGTCTTGATTGCTTCCGTTCGGGGTGCCGTGGAAGCCCTGCTGATTCCCATAGAATTTGGGTATCCCTTGGGTGACCCTACCACTGGTAAGAAGTCATTCTTGACCCAGCGGTAGCACGCTGGATCCGAACAGGGGACTATCCCATGGTGGGGGAAGCTGTTCATGTTTCTGAACCAGGCAATCCCCATTTTGGATCGGTCAGATTCATATGATTCATCATTTGAGCTGGCTTGAGCACCTCCTGTTATTTTGTAAAATGCTTACAACACTGGTTCGGAATGGGGCCCTTGATTCTGATCCGTATGGAATTGGGGAAGTATCATCAGCCAAAAAGTCAAAGAAGCCAGTCAAGATTGGGATCACCACAGTTGATGGAACTTTCTGTGGTTAAGTCGCCAGGGTATGACCTCTGTGAATGGCATTGATCAGTTTCGCCTCAAGGCCCGTTCCCTTTCACAGCTTCGCTCACGCCGTGGACGTCCTGCATGCCGTGTCGGGAGACCTGGGTCAGTGGATCTGAGGGATGAGTGAAGATAAGTGGGGGATGATGATTGCACATCTCTAATTCTGATATGGATCATCCCTCAGAAAAAACACCTTAGAGCTTTTCAGGCGAGGTAATTATGATATATTATGATGACTTCCCATCATTATAGGTTAATTAGTGAATTACCCGGATAATCACTATCCCTTCAGAAGATTGATGGGAACACGGGATAATCTATAGATAAAATGGGCATCAAGCCACAAGATGCCAAATAACTCACTTCACCCTGGTACCCTGTAGTGGAGACATACAGACCACAAAAACGCAAGGATAGCTGGATGTTCATCCTCCCCAAATATGATGTCATAGGTTTTAACCCATCCAGAAATATCAGTTTTTGGGGTTGAAACATAGCAAGAACAGATGAACAAATCCCATTAATTCGCATGAAATCCCATTGAGTGTCCTTGTTTTTGAAGGAATTCAATAGTTATCAGTTATATCATATATCCCATTCAATTAACCATGACATCCCATGAAATCACCATAAAATCACCACTAAATCCCATTAGATCCCATGAAATCACCATAACATCACCATAAAATCACCACTAAATCCCATTAGATCCCATGAAATCACCATAAAATCACATTAAATCCTATTCCACCACCATGAAATCACCATAAGATCACCATTTCGTTGTGATCCCAAGACATCCACAGATCACACAGCCTAGGTCGCGAGTGCTGCGATGCGTCTCTTCAGGAACTTTCCTGTCGGAATTGGAAGAGTTGCCCGGTGAACTCACCGGGGGAAAGAGGGCCCGAAAAATGGCGATCCATTCATGATCTGAAAATGGGGAAAAGAATGGACATGAATGGACAAGACATTGGATATTCAACCACCAAAACATGGTGATAGCTATCCATAGCTAATCTACAGGAGAAAGGGATATTTTAAGCCAACAAAAACAAAGGGTGGTTTCTCCCAATTGAAGACCCAGCCCTGCTTGGACTCCGAGGTCCTTGTCAGCTGGTTCAAGTTTGTTAATTATGGGGGGTACCCTCCAAATGCTGAAGAAACATGTGCTTAATTCGTACCCCCCTCGAATTCAACAGCCTAGGGGTTTCTGAATCCAGGGTTGACATTAGTCATATAATATCTACCATAGCCGACTTATGAAACAACTTTCCTGTCCAGGGCCCCAGCCTGTACAATGACTGTAATTCTGATGGTTTTAGGGCTCTCAAGTTTCAAGACCCACATGATTCTCTTGGTTCAGGACGAGCCATGCCCCTGCCATGTTATAGGGAAGAAGCAACGAGCCTTAAATGGGGAGAAGACCCAGAATTGGGGATATCACATCTTCCCCATCATGACTAATACACCATCACAACATATCACAACCCTACAAGACACGGGAGGCTCATAGAGATCCAAAAGGTGACCCGCAATCCCCATCAAACGCACCGAGTTGGCCCAGGGTTGTGTCTCCCATGATTTATCTTAGGATCTGTGGAACATCTTGGAACATCAAATTTTTGAAAGGTGATACCCTCTGGTAAACTAACACAACTATGGAAAATCACCATTTTCAATGGGTAAATCCACTATAAATCACCATTTTCAATAGCTATGTTTGACATAACCAGAGAGTATCTCCCCAAGTTGCGAGCCAAACTTGGAGCCATCGTTAAACTTGGGGCCCCATGGGGCCCCGACCATCCAAGCGCAGTGGCTTCTGGATGGGTAAACCCACTGGGATCAGCAATCAAACTGGAAGTGTTCGCAGAAATAGAATGTTTTACCGAGAGTCGGTGATCATTTCCTCTCCTCTTTTACAATCCACTGGTTTCGTTTTGTACTGGACATACTTTTTGCACCTGATTTTTGCCCGAAAGGCAATTTGCCACCAAAGAATGGATGGCCAAAACCAAGCCATCAACGCCACCCGAGATTCTCACGGCTCGGAAAGGGTCAGCTGTCATGAATTCCAAGGCAGTGTGTATGGGGTAACTTTAGGTTATATCACAATCAACCACCCAAATCACTATATTCAAAAACTGTTTGCTGCTTGTTTTCTTACCAAATAATAATTGTACTGTAGGTTGCTGTTGCCTTGAGTAGTTTTCACTTATGTTTTGAGTCATAATTTATAGACCCACAGGTTGGTAAAGCCATGGTTTCCTGTAAATTCGCCCTAAAAAAACGACCCAGCGTCTTATATTGTATGGCAACCTGGCAACCCCACATATTTTCGTTTTTGGGATCACCAACTCCCCTGAGGTTTTCCCTTCTAGTCGCGGCACTGGGTCATGATATCGGCCATCCTGGAGTGAACAACGGCCGCTGGACGGTGATGGCGACAAACGGTGATAGGATCCCGGCTACTGTCGTTTTCTTCATGATGATAATTTCATGGAATTTTGCATTATTTTACCGTGATATAATGGGATTTAATTATATGGATTTATAACCAAACATATGCTGATCATTGGGGATTTAACAGGAGAAACACTATCCAGTGAGTAGGAGTGAGCTCTTAGGAGCATTGTATGAATTGTATGCATATTCCCTCGAAAATGAGGAGGGATGAAGAACTTCTAAGAGTTTCCCAACCACATTATGGTTTCTAAATGATTCATTTTGTTCATGATCAATATCCGGTTTTACTGAGGGCTTTAATTGTTATTAGTTATTGGTCTGAAAGTGGGGTATAAATGGGGGGGTACAAAACCATCATGGGCATACACATGGATTTTTTCTGGGAATATATTTATAAAATTTACGGAACATAATCAACACATTTAGTATGAGTTTGTCTGAAAATGGGGCGTTTGCATCCCAGCTGTCCATAGTTTATCATCTTTTAGGCCATTAAAAGGGGTATCCACCACGGATGAAGCCGTTGTTTAGCAATGACAAATGGAACCTTTTGTCACATCGAGCTTGAATTGCCAGCTTTGCCGGCTAATCATCCAAAGTTATTGGCTCCCCATTGAAGTTTCTGAAATCTCCATTTAAGAAATCCGGAATTTTTTTGCTTCAAATCCCCATGTTTTTTGTGGTGAAATCCCCCATGGTTTGCTGCAAAAACCTGGACCCAACTTCCAGGTTTTCTGTCGGAAGTGGGGCATGAGCTCGCCATGCAGTACAACGATCGATCCCCGTTGGAGAACATGTCTGGGGACCAAACATGGTGCATGGTGAATGAGGTGCAAATGGGTATGTCTGAAAATGGGGTATACCCCCAATTATAGCCATTTAGTAGGGATAATGATCATTAACCATTGGGTGTAGGGGTACACTATTTTCAGACAAACCCAAATGATGTGCAAATGATGTGCAAAGTAAGAGGAAACATCATGAAACAATGCAACAAACATGAGCTTATTTGCAGCTCAAGAACTATCCTCATTTGCCCAGATCTCTGTCATGAAAGAATCATCCGTCCCGAGGCATTGCGCCAAGCTCTATACCATTTGCAACAAGCCGGAGACCAACGTTCCACGCTCAGTTGCTACCCAAACAACTATGGAAATCCATGGGGTTCAAGAAAGGAAATCAGCCAAACATGGTTTGATTTCCATAGCTCTGTTAATTTACTGGAGGGTATTCTGGAATGTCATCCAATTAGAACTGGGTAAAGAGTGTCGTTGACTGAAGTTGGATAGGAAATGATGGACAGAAGGTGATCACAACAGTACTGCAGTATAGTTGCTGGGACTTCACTGTTCTGTCTATTTGGTGACACCTATATCTCCATTCTCGACGGGTTGGCAAATGTCCCAGTGTGAGGCTTTTAAAAATTACCTTGAAATGGTTGACACAGCGGATCTCCTGATGATTTTTGGGATGTTTTCATGAGACATTTCGCTGCAATCACAATCTTCTCGATGTGGTGTGGTCGCCCAGGTCTTCTATCATTTCACCAAGGAGCAATACAAAGAGGCGGGTCTGCTGAAACTTGCATTTAAGGTGTGGAACATCCACAGCATCCACCAAATCTACTGTCAATTTGGGATTTCCATACGCCGGAGCTGGTTTGTTGTTGGGGGGGTCCCACACTGCGGCCCTGACTACAGGAATGGGTCATTGAAGTGGTGACAGTATTGGCGATTTGAGGTGACGTTTTCTATGGTACCTATGTTATGTAAGTGTCATAAATACTATTTTTGTCATTTTTTGACAATATCCAAACCTGGGATAAACATGCAGTTCCTTAAAGTTTGTAGTTCATCACATTATTGGGTAGTGTCAGCACTGGAATTTATAAAGCCCTGGGTTGATTCGGAGGATTTCAATGTTGACAACCATTTTGTCGGGGATCCCCCTTTAAAGTATATCATCAACCAGGGTTTGTGAATTTGGGGTTGAAGGGTTGAGCATCAATAAACATCTCTTCAAATGGAGCAAAGAATACACTATTTGACCAGTATTATACCAGCATTTCTTGATCACTAAACAACCAGAGGCGAGGACGTTTTTGACATCGAACATGTCTTGTTTTTCATTTTCATCATGAATCTCCACCATTTCTTTCACTAAAAACCCGCGGCTTTTGATGGCGATCGATTTCCAGGTGAGAAAGAATTGCATCGAAAGCATCCTGCACACCGATATGATGGCCCACCAGGTTCGTTTTTTTTCCCTGCGAGGGGAAGGATTCTGTGAGGTTTTTTCAATGAACTGTATGATTTTATCATATTTTATCCATTTCTTGCTTTGACATTACGCATTTCAATTAGACTCAATTTTAGACAGACACATTTTCAGTCGAATTGGATGATTATCATGATGAACAACAATTTTTCGAATGATGTACCCTCTGGTAATTTAACATAGCTATTGAAAATCACAATTTTTAATGGGAAAATCCACTATTAATGGCCATTTTCAATAGCTACGTGAGAAATTACCAGAGGGTAGTGGTTTTCCATATTTTTCGCATCCTAAACGGCTGCTTCTATCAAGCCCTTGGATTTTTCGAACGGTGACCATGGTCAGATCGACCAAAGTGGCGTCAACGACCTGAGGCCATGGTGAAGGATCTGCAGATTCTCTTCCAGATGAACACGGAGGTGTGGCCGGGTTTTGAACATGGCTGATATAGCATATATAACTATATATATATAACTATATATATAATTATATATAACTATATATATAGCTATATATATATATATAACTATATATATATATGTATAACTATATATATAATTTTACATAATATACATGACTATCATATAGCTCTGATGTTAAACAACATAGCTATGGAAAATGGTGGCTGGGAATTTTTATTGGTGATGAAACAGATTTCACTATGATAATTTCACCGTAACTGACAAAACTATGGAAAATCACGGGATATGATGATATAATTAGGATATTTAAAGGTATACTACAACCAATGACCATTGCCATAAATGATTATTCATTGGTGATGAAAACACAACCCGGTGTCACCAAACATGGCCGGGTGGAACATCATCCATTGATATGAGATGTCCCGCTGCCATGTTTGATGAACTACCAGAGGGCAACTATGATATATCAACATTTATGGACGATAATGGGGATATAATTGGTATATATATATATTCTATATTATTCTATATATAATTGTAATTATAGGTACACTATTTTTAGGGATACAACATTATATTATAGGTATTCTACATTATTGATATTTTTATTATAGGTATTCTATATTATTCTATAGGTACACTATATAATTCTGGTAATGACTAACATAGCTATTGAACATGGCCCAATCGAAATAGTGGATTTTTCCCATTAGAAAATTCACCGCTGTGGATCATGGGATCCTTGGAGAGGTCACCTTTTTAGAGTGAACAGCGATTTGGGCGATTTCTAAAGTGATACCATATATATATATATCTATGTATATATATATGTATATGTATATATATCTATGTATATATATATGTATATATATATGATATGGGTGTGTAGATAAGATAATTTCGGATACAGAAATGAGTTTCACTGGTTATAATAGGATGTCGTCAGATGGGCCAAACCAACCAGGGATTATGACACTTACCGTATGGTTCTTGGGGCCGACGTTCAACTGATGTCTTGGATCTTCACGTTCTGACACAAAAGAGGGACACTCATTAAGTTATCATGTGTCGTGGTGTCGTGCAATGTAAACTGCAATGAGCCGATCATTGATTGATCGATGTCCACCCATTATTAACACCAGGGGGGGACTTGGGGCTCCTGGTTGGCCCAACCAGGCATCAACAGACAGAGTCAGACAGACATGGAATTAGATCTCCCATTGATAGATGATTTCCCTATACATATATATATGTATTCCATTGAAGGCAATGGACATACATAAATCCCTCAAGTATAGATGAGACTGTGGATGGAAGATTTATTGCACCAGTTGGTAACTGGTAAGTATGAAACACAAAAAAAATCATGAGATGATAAGGAGATAAACCATCTACCAACTGGTGCAGGATTTCGCAGCCATCCACCGCCTTGCCGCTTTGCGTTCGCTCCACAGGTGTTCACCGCGGAGCCAGAGAGTGCTTGGTCTCAGTGCAAAAACAGGTTGCGACCGTTTGAAGGATCGCGATTTGTGGAGATGTCAAATAGGTCAAATCGGCTGATCTTTTTTGGTTTAGTTAGATTAGTTAATCAGTTAGTTAGTTGGTAAAAAGAAGTGAACAATGCCTGGACTTTTCGGGCTTCCAATTGAGCTCCCATCGAGGTGATGACAAGGGACAACTGGTGATCAGTCCCGCAGAGGTGGGAATCCAGCATTTTTCATGGGAAAATCATGAGAAAATGATAGGGGGGATCCAGAAGTAATGGGGAAATCATGGGAAAACCCACCATAAATGATCACAAACGGAGGTCTATAGCGTCTATAGCTGGGAACATCGATAGGGAAAATCACCACGAACTAGCCATGGAGGTTGAGTTCGCTGGGAACATTTCATCAACAGATCATCAATGGGGAAGGTGCCCCAGCTGCGATAAAACCACAGCAAAGCACAATAGGCAATAACCCTCATGCAGATTAAGGAACACCTGGTGGAGTGTCTATGTCTATGTGTGTGTGTTTTTTGCAGCCTTTGTTTAGTGTCGAAAGCTTTGTTGTTTTTCTTGCCCGTTTACAATTTTTTAAATGTATATACTTCTTTTCTTTTTTTGCTTTATTTTGTTTCCGGGCATTTTTCAGCTTCCTTAGTTTTGTTTAGTCTCCTTTTGTTAGTTCTTTTTATTTGTCTCTTCTTTTGATGCTAGTTTTCCGTCAGCATTCTCTATTTCTTCTGTAGATTTTGAACTTATTGTGCGGAGTGCCAGTGGTGAATCTCCAAAAAGAACCAACATGAACGGACAAGTACCAAGCAGATTTTTTTTTCTATAGTAGCATTTCGTAGGCTTTTGTTTGGATTCCTTCAGCTTCCTGTGGGATTCCCATGGGATTCCTTTAGCATTTTCCAGTTCTAAATTACGTGAAGCGAGACCTTTGAAGAGGTACTAGCTTCACGACTGGGTTTGTGGTAGATATATCGAACTAGATATGGGGTTTGTGAGCCAACTTATATATCACTTCTGAATCCAACTACTTGTATGATAACTATGGTTGATGCTGGGAAAACCATCATCGATACACATAGTTTGGAGGGGAGCTGGCGCCTGCAGTTTTGGTTTATCCCCTATGGTCCTTGGTCAAAAGCTGATGCCTCTTTGTTTTCGTTCACCTTTTTGTCATTTTTGGTGTTCTTGTCAGTCAACATAATATGTGCCATGGTTATAAGTTGGATTGTATAGCCATAATATGCCATAATCACAATTTTCGGGATGGTCATCAATCCATTTTCATCAGGATTTCGCCATTAGTCCAATCCAGGATTCCCATGAAATGCCAGGTTGAGATCTTCTCGGAACCAGACACCAAGACCAAGGCACACTGGGCGGGGGTTGATTTTCTGGGGCTTGGCGGACAAGCTCAGCATTTGATGTGGATATACCCTCCAGTAAACGAAGATAGATGTGGAACATCCACTCTTTGTGGAATACAGTCATAGGGAAACGATGGGTTTAAGATGGTTTAAGCCACATCTTTCTGTAAGTCTACCCCAGGGTCATTGGGATATGCTTGGGATATAATAATGAATAATGGTCCGCGTGGTGATCCATTTTTGGGCTGCCTTTTTTGGGTCCAAAAATGGACCCTTTCCTCCGGGAACCAGGCATTCTTTGGCTTTCCCAGTTTTTGTATCACAATGATATTTTCTTCACAAAGATTCATTGTATCAGTGTGAAATTTCATTGGGTGATTCTTCTTCAGAACAACGCATTTCTTGACTTTATCACTTACACGATGATACAGGATTTTCAGACAAACCCGTGGAGTTCAGCAATTTCGAGCAACACCTAGGAATCTGAGATCCCCGAGGCCATACTGTTTCCTTCCGTGATATTATCATAAACAATCTGGAATCTATCTGGCTTTGTCAGGAGAAGTTCGATCCACCATGGGATTTCTTTTGAACCAACTTGATGTATATATATATATAGATCACACACATATATATATATGATTATATATGTATATATCATATACATTATAGATATAGGTTATATACATATATATGGTGCAGCGTTGGCCCCCCCCCTCCCCCCCCCCACCAATGGGTATGGGGGGACAGTAATCCGCTGGTCTTCGTCCCCCCCCCCCTGTGGCCTGTGGTGGTGGTACGGTTCTTCTGGTTCCCCCCCCTGTGGCCTGTGGTGGTGGTATGGTTCTTCTGGTCCCCCCCCCTGTGGCCTGTGGTGGGGGTATGTTGGTATGTTGGTATGTTGGTATGTTGGTATGTTGGTATGTTGGTATGTTGGTATGTTGGTATGTTGGTATGTTGGTATGTATGTATGTATGTATGTACGTAGGTATGTATGTATGTATGTACGTAGGTATGTAGGTAGGGAGGTAGGTAGGTATGTAGGTATGTATGTATGTATATACACCACCACAGGGGCATCATACCCCCCCCCATCCCATGGGGGGGGGGCGGGGGGGGGGGGGGGAACACGGGACACGGGACCATATATATCATATAAATAAATATATATATATATATCATATAAATAAATATATATATATATATGACTATATATGTATATATCATATACATTATAGATATAGGCTATATATATATATCATATAAATAAATAAATATATATATATAGTCATATATCATATACATTATAGATATAGGTTATATATATATATCATATAAATAAATAAATAAATATATATAGATTGTATGGCAACCACAGAACAAATGGACAAATTGGACATGTTGAAAATCATGAGGATTTTAGATCCTCCAATAAACATCCGCGTTTTTTCCTATCTATCTTAAAACCGATCTCTGAATATAAAAAAAGGAACAACATCCAACACGTGTTCTTTCACTGCGGGAGTTAGTGGCCCTAACTTAGAATAAAACCAGCCAATCAGGAGGATTCATGCTGGGCTTGATATCAATTCTCTGCGCAATCACTTAGCTCCGTGCTTTCATAGGGATGAAGATGCATGAAACCCCAAATCAGCTAACCAAAGAAAGTCCCATAGTATCATATATATATATATATACATCTCCGTGTAGCCCCATATCTGCTTGTTAAAGCCTCCCATGCTTGTTGGTAAGATCGCAGTTTTTTGCTGATGAAATCTGTGTTTTTTTGTTGGTTGAATCAACCGAATGTTTATTGGTCGTATTCACCCAGTCGTTGTGAAGACAATCCAAATATTTGATGATCATTTCGCAACAAAAGAAAAATGGCAATCTTTTGGAGGAAAATCCCCAATGCACAGACCCAGAAATTTATGTTGATGAATCCCGTCCCCCCAATAAAACACACCCCCAAGAATATCTTTACATAATGATATTTGGCTATATTTGGGACCATTAACCATGGGTGTTTAATACAAACGGGGGACTGGATTTTCCATCGATGCTTATTATCCATATCCCATTAGAGTTGACTATCTATGATAATATGTATTTTATATATAACATAATATATATATATAACATAATATATATATAACATAATATATATATATACATAATATGATATATACATAAATAAATAAGTAAAATAAATAAATATATATATATAATGCCTGGCAGGTTGTGAACTGCGTTTTGCACTCGGGAGACGTCTCCAACCCCTGTCGGGCATGGGAGACCACCTACGTGCGGATGCCCTGTTCGGTCGAGGTGTGGAAAGGTAGAAATGGTGGATTTTCCGACAGGATTTATATTTCAATACCATCCATTTCAGGTTTGCGCCAACATTATTGTAGACCAAATGACAAGGCCATAAGGGGGTACAGTCTGGGTACAGTAGGTGATTTTACCATTCCTTTGACACTTTTGCCAATTTTTTCCTTGCAATTATTTGGGTGTTGGGAGCAACCCTGCTATGTGGAACAAACATATTATGAGAAACAAACACCTGTGCATATGCTCAGTATCAGTGACTTAAGCTGATGGCGATAAGAGAGGAGGTTTGGCACCTGAAAATAGCGGTCGACCCCTCCAAATCCAGTGGTTTCATTGCCAACTTTGCCATGGCGAAATCGCCTCATTTCTCGGTGACCCTCCGAGGCTTGGGCCTTGGTTTGTCTGGAAGAGTTCTTCGCTCAGGGAGATCAGGAGAAGCTGCTGGGAATTCCCGTGGGGGCCCCTGGCTTCGGCGGATCTGGGGATACTGTGGAAAGGCCTTGGTGACAAACCCTGCCAATCGGATGATGATCCCAATTGACGACGTAGCTTAGATTTTCTGCTTTAAGCGATCAATATTGTGTGTACATATATGTTTTTTTGGTGGTCATATATATATAATTATATGCATGTAATGTATGTATGTATGTATGTAATGTAATGTAATGTAATGTAACGTAACGTGATGTAATGTAATGTAATGTAATGTAACGTAACGTGATGTAATGTAATGTAATGTAATGTAATGTAGTGCAATGTAATGTAATGTAATGTAGTGTAAGTATGTATGTATGTAAGTAAGTATGTATGTATGTATGTATGTATGTATGTATGTATGTATGTGTGTATGAATGTAATGTAACGTAACGTAACGTAACGTAACGTAATGTAATGTAATGTAATGTAATGTAATGTATGTATGTATGTATGTATGGATAATACATACATACATACATACATACATACATACATACATACATACATACATACATACATACATACATACATACATACATACATACATACATACATAATACATACATACATACATACATACATACATACATACATACATACATACATACATACATACATACATACATACATACATACATACATACATACATACATACATACATACATATATGTATATACATATTGCATACATCCTATACCTCTATCCATGAATCATATCCCAGTATATCATGTTTTCCAAGCGGATCAGTTCAAAAATCCAATTAATACTTAATTCACCAGTCCAAACCAAAACTGACCCCGTTCGCGAACTGGGGCATCACCGCCACGCAGGTCCAATTTCTGAATGATAGAGACAAGCTGAACAAACCCAACTCGCAGATCGGCTTCATCGAGCCTCCCAGCCGCAGCGGGCGGCTGATTCTGACCGTTTTCTTTTTTTTCATGATTTATAGCAACCACCAAGAAGACTACAATATTCAATCAAATAGTGGCAAATTACCGTCTTAAAACATCCATGTGAATCTTTTTCTTGGGCTACATTTATTCAAATCGATTTACACAGGATTTTCCCATGAAAAGAGGTGTTGATTTTGCAATGCCATGTTTTATTTCCAGAGTGATGCGGATATTTTTTTTGTAGGACGAGTTTTTTTTCGCGATGCGTCTATAGTCTATACCCCCAATTCCAGTGGATCATGATCCCCATTCAAATGGTCATTGGGTACATCCCATTTTGCAAAGTCAATCATCCTATAAGTCTCAAATGGTTTCAACCATCCCAAAGTCAACCATCCCTTTTCAGACAAAGTCAAGCACAAAGTCAACCATCCCTATGTTTCCATGTTTTCAGAGTGGCTGTGTTTTTACGGATCTCCGTTGACCCTAATGGGTCTGTTTTTCGCACGGGAAATGTCGGGAAGATTTCGAGGGCAGATACGTAGAGAGGTACCCTCTGGTTCTTTAACGGTTTTAACGGGTTGCGAACTGGAAAACCACCATTTGTTGCATGTAAATCATCATACATCATTTATGTCTGGGCCATTTTCCATAGCAATGTTAAATAACCAGAGGGTATCAGTTCTGCCGTTAGAATAATCAACACTTGTTAAATCTCAATCTCCAAATTCCCGCTCTAGTTATATCCTTTGCGAATCCAAGCTGCAATAGAAAAAATGACCCGTGTACAACATGTATAGACATGTATAGACATGTATAGACATGTATAGACATGTATAGACTATTTTTTCATTTTTCAATTTCCACAGGTCAGATGAAGATTCCTTGGAAATCATTGAGACTCCAAGTTTTGCACACGATGTCCTTTCCCCAGCGGTTCCTGAAAAGAAGGTTCCCCGCCAACAACCAATAGCTAGACAATAGATGATAATAGCCTTTTGGATCTTTTTCGTAATATATGGACATTAACATCCAATTAACACCCTTTTGCTATTTAACATACGTATAGTAGACGGTAATCTAACATAGCAATGGAAAAATATGGAAAATCACCAGTTCTTTTGATTCGTAGATCATCGATTTCTTAAACGCCAGGTTCATGATCGCGCCCTTCTTCGTGGCGCAGATCCGTCTCTGGCCCAACATGCACGAGTGCCTTGGCTCAGTTTACCGGGGTTTTGGGGGGACAAAACTAACCTCATGGTCTAATGAGTCTAATGTACTTTTTCTTTTTGTTTCTTTTGGTGGTTTTGACCCATCACCAAATGAGTTTACTCATGTGAAAGCAACATTTGGGCTTCCCCCCGTTTGAGCGATATACATGTCCAGAGCTATTTGGACGAACTGAGAAGGGTTGAGAATATCGGATTTCAGGGGGTTCAACAGATTTCCTTTTTTTCCATCCCCAAGACCCCAAGAATCCCAAGAACTTCTGAGGGTTTGTGGCTCAAGTCTAACTCTTTCTTGGAGATATTTACCAACTTAAATGGAAATCCAACTGCCAAAAGACTGATTAGATATATAAATTCTTAGGGATTCTGGAACCTTCAACTATTTCTATGCGTATATACAATATATATATATGTTCGATAGATAGATTAGATTAGCTTAGATCAGATTAGATGAGGTAAGGTTTGCTTAGCTTAGATTAGATAGATAGATATATCATGATATATTACCTGGACCCCCAATAACCATCACAGTATTTTGTTTCGGTTTCGAGCCATAGAATTTCTCGCGTGGCGCCGCCTCGTCGATCCCAGGATGGGAGGAAACCTCTCGCGCAACATTGCCAGTTGGCAGGACGGAAACTGGTGCTTCAGGCTTCGACTAAACCAGGAAGTAATCGGATGTGTGTATATGTATATATATATGGATATACTATAATCTGGTGGATCCCAAATCTCGTAGATGATCTGTCTAAAATACAATTATAATTCTATATCTATCTGTCTCTCTATCTGTCTATCTATCTGTCTGTCTATCTGTCTGTCTATCTATCTATCTATCTATCTCTATCTCTATCTCTATCTCAATCTCTATCTCAATCTCAATCTCTATCTCTATCTCTATCTATCTCTATCTATCTCTATCTATCTATCTATCTCTATCTCTATCTCTATCTCTATCTCTATCTCTATCTCTATCTCTATCTCTATCTCTATCTCTATCTCTATCTCTATCTCTATCTATCTATATCTATATCTATGTCTATGTCTATGTCTATGTCTATATCTATGTCTATGTCTATGTCTATATCTATCTCTATCTCTATCTCTATCTATCTATCTCTATCTATCTATATCTATCTATATCTGTCTATATCTATCTATATCTATCTATCTCTATCTATCTCTATCTATCTATATCTATCTATATCTATTTATTCTATTCTATTCTGTTCTGTTCTATTCTATTCTATTCTATTCTATCCTATCTATCCTATCTATCCTATCTATCCTATCTATCCTATCCATCCTATCTATCTTATCTACTGTATCGTATCTATCCTATCTATCCTATCTATCTATCCTATCCTATCCTATCCTATCTATCCTATCCTATCTATCCTATCCTATCTATCCTATCTATCCTATCTATCCTATCTACCCTATCTACCCTATCTACCCTATCTATCCTATCTATCCTATCTATCTATCCTATCCTATCTATCCTATCTATCCTATCCTATCTATCCTATCCTATCTATCCTATCTATCCTATCTATCCTATCTATCCTATCTTATCCTATCTTATCCTATCTTATCCTATCTTATCCTATCTTATCCTATCTTATCCTATCTTTTCCTATCTTATCCTATCTTATCCTATCTTATCCTATCTTATCCTATCTTATCCTATCTTATCCTATCTTATCCTATCTTATCCTATCTTATTCTATCTTATCCTATCTTATCCTATCTTATCCTATCTTATCCTATCTTATCCTATCTTATCCTATCTTATCCTATCTTATCCTATCTTATCCTATCTTATCCTATCTTATCCTATCTTATCTTATCTTATCTATCTTATCCTATCTTATCCTATCCTTATCCCTATCTTCCTATCTTTCCTATCCCTATCTTATCCTATCTTCTATCTTATCCTATCTTATCTATCTTATCCTATCTTATCCTATCTTATCCTATCTTATCCTATCTTATCCTATCTTATCCTATCTTATCCTATCTTATCCTATCTTATCCTATCTTATCCTATCTTATCCTATCTTATTCTATCTTATCCTATCTTATCCTATCTTATCCTATCTTATCCTATCTTATCCTATCTTATCCTATCTTATCCTATCTTATCCTATCTTATCCTATCTTATCCTATCTTATCCTATCTTATCCTATCTTATCCTATCTATTCCTATCTATCTATCTATCTATCCATCCATATATATATATATATACATATGATATCAAAATCTAGTCGATCAACCAATGACAATTATGCAAGATATACAAAGAAAGGGTCACAATTTCCAATCCACAATTGGTTTTATCAATCAGTAGAACAGTGTGATTCAAATCGGTACCCAAAGGGCATGCTTTTCAGCGGAGCCGTGGGGTGTACCCCTTTTTTCGGGTGAATTTGCTGACCGTCGTAGTCTGTCCACGATTCACGATAGGATGTGATGCATGACTTTTCGTCTGAAAATGGGCAAAATCATTTTTTTTTTGGCGTAAGAACGGAGAAGAAGATGACCATCCGTTAGAATTTCAGGTAAGGCGCAGAGCCACAGGACATGTGGGAAAAGGAAGTGACACCGGCGGAAGAAGAGAAAGCCAAAGTGAAGGCCGCGGGGCAGATGGGATGAAAATCACTCGGATCTAATCCAGTTGTGGGGGATACCCCCAGCCAGAAGGCCAGTTTCATAGGCGAAATGATGATTTTTTCCATGGGATTTTTCAGGTAGCCCTAGTTTCAGAGGAGAATGAGAGATATACCCTATATACTGTATACATTTGTAATTATGCGTAATCAAGCAATGTACGTACCATTGTATGTATATATATATACACATAAATTCGCTGTCCATTAGTTTGTAGGTGGCTGATAATTGAAATCGACAATCCGTAGAAATGAGATTCCCTTCAGTAATCAAACATAGAATCTCAACAATTCTGAGATTTAGCAATTGTTTTGCAATGCTTTAAGCCGGCTACTAGCTCTAGTTTTCAAGTTGGCTTTCAGTGGAGTTTCCTTACAGCACATCAACTGAAATCCCATGCTTTTCTTGTTTCCAGTCTGACAGGACCATATCATTTTGTTTCTATCCATTCATTATATCCCCATGATATCCCCAACTATTGCTGGTTTATATCCCCATGATATCCCCATTTCTGCTGGTTGTCCTATGAAACTTGCACTGTGAATCTTCTCGCAGGGTCGCGTCGAAAAAGTGCAGACCAACATCAACGAGGTGGGGTCCCATTCACACAACGCATGGAGGAAGTATTCAACCAACCAGGATAAATGGTGATTCAACTACTCAAGATATATAAAAGGGTGATTTCATCTGATTTAACCATGATAAATATGGGCTAAAACCACGATTTAGCGGGGTGACTCCAAGCTATTGTAGGTACATGCTAGTCACTTTATTTGGGAGATGCGTAATTTTGCCTCGGGGATTAAATGCTTATGAATGGGATGGTATCTCCCGAAGTTTATTGCCATTACATGATGGGAAACAGGAGGTTTGAACACCGGAATTTCGGGATATCAATGGATCGCATTTTCAGACAAAGCCAAATAAATACAGACTAATTACAGGGCTGTTGGTGCTGTCGAGGTGCGGCATACCCTGTTATCCCTAAGAAGCCCTTTGTTTTCTGCACGTGCATGGGGTGCCGGGGTGCCGGGGTACCTGTGATTCTGCCGTGCTGGAGGCCATTCAAAGAACTCCCATCTGAGGGCCAAGCTTACCAAACCTAAGGTTTTTGTTCTTTTTTTTTTGGCCCTTCCTTGATTATCCATCGGCATCTTATCTTATACCAAAGCGCACCTTGGCATCACTGAGAAACTTCATTTCTTCGCCGTATTCACAGCAAAAAAAAGGTGGGGGCCATAGATAAAGACCTTGGGTTCCAGTGACCTGGAAAACTTGTATCGTATCACCCATCTCACCACATGGCTGCAGTGCGCACCTATGGTGTGCGCCATGACGGCCATGGTCCAAATCCGAATGCTGGTGATTGTCAAAGGCATTCGCCATGCGAATGGTCTTCCGGGACGAACTTATGCCGCGTTTTTTTCCTGTATAAAATGCGTATTTCTTAGGCCCTGCGACCTTGCCATAGATTTCTGGATAGGCACTTTCTCAGCCACACATGTTGTATTGGGAGGAACAAGGAGGCAGGCTTTGGAGGGTTTTGCCAGACATGGCGAGTGCTTGGCACCGTAGTTTTTTCATGCTCCAAATATTGTTGGCCTGTTGGTTTTCTGAAGCTGGTTGAGCTGGTTCAGCTGGTTAAGCTCTGGTTCAGCTGGTTCCGGTATTGAAATCGATCATTCTTGGATTTTGAGATCTCTGCTAAATTCACCCCCTGTGAATAGTCTGTGAAATACATATTGAATTCCGACAGATTTGATCCGCGCTACATCCCAAGGGCAAGGTCAACGGGCCCAGCGACGTAATCGGTTACCGTCGACCCAAGGTCGCTGTTGGCATGGCAGACGGACAGTCTAATAGATTGTTGGCCTGCCCACTGTGGTCATCAGGGGGATGCTCTTGGAGACGATCCTTTTCACAGCGATGATGTACGATTTCAAAAAATAACAGTTTTTTGTTTGGTTCATCCAACCAGACAGTGACAAAGTGCTCACATGAGTCTTGAGAACCTCAATTTTGAAGCATATCATTTACTTGCCCGTGGTGTCAAGAGTGATCTATGCAAAAAAAAAATATACATTTATACATAGACAAGTAGGAAAAAGACAAAAGATGAATAAACATGGGTACGTCCCAAAGATGGTTAAATACTAACAATGAGCAATTTTTGTGAGTCCCTAGGTTTCACCACAGATATGGATCTGGCAGATTCACTGGTCATTAAATGACTATTCAACCAGCCAATTTGGTACTCATTTCTTGACACGTATCCAAAAACGAGCGTTTGTTCGGCTGTGTTTTGTTTTGAGTCAATCTACCGGACAATAAACCGGCTTCCGGTTTCAAATATGCTTCATGCTTCACCCGGTATTTTAGACATCCAATCGACTATGATTCTTTGATTGGGGTTGACACCACCAAGCATAGAATTTGCATGAAGACTACAAAGAAAGCGACTTTGCCGATGTCCACCCAGCAAGATGAAGTGGAACTGCAGTTGCACGGATTTGCGGCCACATTTTTTCGGCAGCCGCACCGTCTGACTGTCATCAAAGTAGGTGACCATCACTCTCAAAATAGGTGGTTTTCATACACAGTTGGGTGTGACTGAAAATGGGGCAACATGGCTATTTTAGTTGCGACTTGAGTTTGTTAAAAAAATGGGCGATAGGGAACAGATCAGCTTCTAGTCTAGCTAAGATAGTTACAGTAAATTGAGGATTCAAGCGCTGGAGTTTGGGGGTTTGCCATACGGTGCCGCAGCCTAAAAGATGTGCTCGGCCGGTGCGAGAAATCATCTGGGTCGCCGATAGAACCACGATGGATGCAGAAAACATCGGTGGAGCACTTGAGTGTGACTGAGGTGATTTTTGATGGCTATAAGTCTATAAGTTTATTTCCCCAATGACGCATATAATAATATATATATATATATGTATATATATATATGTATATATATATGTATATATATATATGTATATATATATATATATAATATATGTGTATATATATATTGTATATATATATTATGTGTATATATATTGTATATATATATATATATAAGTTGGTTAACCTCCATAAGTTTGGATTAATATATCTTGAAGTATGGCTTTGTCGGGTTAGTTTATCGTTGGGGTACCATGGAAAACTCCATAAGGTGGGATACAAGTTACCGTCAAAAATCACGATTCAAAGATATGACCAGATAAAAAGATCTTCCGATATAATGTATATATAATGTATATAACTATATACAGTATGTTAATCTGGTTGGTGGTTTGGAACTTTTTTTTTAAAATTTTCCCCAATAGTTGGGATGATAATCCAATCTGACTAATATTTTTCAGGGGGGTTGAAGCCACCAATTGGTAGTAATATATTTCAAATATATATATATATATAGATAGATGCACATAATTATATGGGTATGGATCAATACCTATTAATACCATTTTTAGGGGAATGAACATCCATTTACAAGCTATTTTGATGTTCACCAGGGGTACAAGGTTTTGACACACTGCCATATATATGATATCATAAACCCAACAGTTCCTGTGAAAATTGCAGTTGTGGAATCGCCGTTCTTCACCGAAGACACCGAGGTGGACACTGCGCATCAAGCTTTGGTGCTGTACTTTCTGAGCCTGGCTGAGGCACGTTGGATCGCCATGGTGATTGAACCATATTTTTCGCAATGGTGATTTAATAAAACCATAGAAGCATAAAACATATTGAACCATCAAAAACAGAATTATGATGAATCATGGTGATTTAAAAATGGTGGAGCTAACCATGTTTATCATGGTGAGTGAAAAATGATGATTTAACCACGGTAAATAGGGGTTTTAACTATGGACAATTAGCCAGAGGAAATGGTGGATTAATGGGATGGAATTGATGATTATATCAAATTATCAAATTATCAGTAAACCCAGTGCCACAATCACACCCCCCTCACTTTTGGGGTTTGGTATCGGGTATAGCCCGTTTTTTTGGGATGATGTAAAATGGCTGGTTGCGATGGTTGATGATTTCGCTTGGCTTAGCACATGAATCCCATCCCCAGAACAGCTGCCTCCTGAGACGAACGTGGATTGAATACATTCAATACTAACTGGTTTGTGGTTTGGAACATGGCTTTTATTTTTCCATTTCTTGGGAATAGTAATCCCAACTGACTAATATTTTTCGGAGGGGTTGAAACCACCAACCAGCTAAACCAGGATTTCTCTAGGGGCATTACCCTCTGGTTATTTACTTTAACTGCTCTGGAACCCATGGCCCCTAAATAGATGATAAACATGATGACTTACCGTTTCACAAAATGGTGATTTTCCAGTTCACGTTAAACAACCAGAGGGTATCTCTTACATCAGGGTGAAAAAGAACGTATCAGAGGTGAGATCATCGATCGAGCCATTTCTAAATGACGGTGAACATATTGAACGCGCAGCGCTGCATGTCCCTTGAATTTCCCCAAGAGTTTGGTGAACATGTTCACGTGATTTCACGTGTCACCATCTATCCGGGAACACATTTAAGAGCAGTGTGAATAATTAGAACCGGTTGGTTGATGATAGGGGACTGCACTACTAACCAATGTATCGGGGATATTCGGGAATATCACAATCTACTAGGGGAATCCCGGATTCAACCAATACGATGACAGTGGTTTTGGAACATTTGGAACACCGCTCATGAAATGATGCCCCGAGAAACCAGCTGTGGGATTCACGTAATACGCCTGAATTATCTAGATGATATGTATACAGTATGTATGTATATATTTATACGTCCGTATAGTCTGTAGATATATATATATACATATGTACGTATATATGAATATATATATATATATGTAAACATATATATATATATACATACATATATATATATACACATATGTACATACATACACAAGTATGTATATATAGTGATCCTAAAGTAGATAGAATATTTTTTTGGAGGGTGCGGGATTTATGTTGGATGTTGGAATTATGTTTTGCAAAAAACGACTTTGACAGGGACGAAAAACGTGTAAAAACTGAGGGTTTTGAAAATATTCCAACTATTTTTGTTATTTTTCTAAAAATCAGTTTTGAAAATGTCCGATATTCTATCTACTCCAGGACGACTATATATATATACATATGTGATATTTTTACTTATGCATCTGGTTCTTGAATGATTCATGTTGCTGAGTACTGAATTCTTCAGAGATGGTATCCTTCGGCTTTCTTAGGGTGATTCTTTAATGTTTTTTTTCCCCACCCATGAGAAATTCATCATTGGAATCCATTCAGGAAATGGGTTTGTCACAGTTTGTCTAGAGATGAAGTACCCCAAGGTCCCAAAGGTTTAAACATATTTGTTCGAGTTGGTTTGTATTGAAATTGCCATAAATTGTTCAACCCCCAATTAATCCCATGGGTTCTATATGTACACACATGCATATCGCAACACAATGATAGACCTGTTAAACTTATCAACTTATCACTATTTCAGAATTGGATTTTACTTGTTCATCTATGTTTCCCATCTTTTTGGCGGGTTGCTATCTATATCTATATCTCTATGTATCCATGGCTTAAACAGAAACACGTCCACGCGCGCTGCAGGAGACGAAACCTTCGCGTGTCCGACTCTCTAGACTGAGTCCCGCCGCTGCGCAGGTGCCGATTTTGTGAATGAGGGAAACCAGGCAAGATATGTATTCTAATGTATTATATATATCATAATAATAATAATCATAATGATCATAATAATCATAATAATATAATCTCTCGACATTTCGTAGGGAAAACGCTGCTTCTTTGGTGCAGATGCTACGCCACATTCGTGACTTCTTGGGTGTGGTCTTTCAGATTCGCGAGGCGACGCTTCTGGAGCGACATGGGGCGACATGGTATAACTACCATCCCCCAATGGCCGGACCCTGCTATTTTCAGGGTCTGTGTCAATTTACTGTACCAACAAGAAGAGGGAGATCACCAGCAAAAAGTTGGATTTGTTCCAATAAGACTCAATAAGAAATGTGGATTGAACACAAAACAAATCAGACAATGTGGGTTTAAGCAGTCAAGAATCGGGATCTGGCCCAACTTATATCAGGGATTTAAGTGGGTCGAGCCTATATGTTACACTCTCACAATCGGTCACCTGGCATAAGAGAATTTCATTTGTGATAAGACCATCCTCTGCAAATGGAGGCTTTTCCCGCGAACAAATGCCTCCTGTTGATATGAATCGGAAGATGAACTTCCGCCTGATTTTTTTCATGCGTGGTTCACCTAAAAAAGATGCGGGTGACACATGGCCTTTTCCCCAACGAAAAAGGCCTAAAAAGTTGGGGCTGTTAAGCCCAATTAGTGAACCGGGCCATGCTCAGGATCACGGGGAGTCTGGCACCGTGGTGCTGTCGTGCATCGGCCCGGGGACCGAAAAAATGGACCTGGAAGTGGGATAGGAAAATCGGAAAATCATTGGAATCCTCAGTGACGGGATAGGAATGACAGGACTCCCCCCAAAAAACATCTGGTCCTATATTTGGAATATCATAGGAAAATCACAGGAAAATCATTGGAATCCTCAGTGACGGGATAGGAATGACAGGACTCCCCCCAAAAAACATCTGTTTTTTTTTTGGAATATCATAGGAAAATCACAGGAAAATCATTGGAATCCTCAGTGACGGGATAGGAATGACAGGACTCCCCTCAAAAAACATCTGGTCCTATATTTGGAATATCATAGGAAAATCACAGGAAAATCATTGGAATCCTCAGTGACGGGATAGGAATGACAGGACTCCCCCCAAAAAACATCTGGTCCTATATTTGGAATATCATAGGAAAATCACAGGAAAATCATTAGAATCCTCAGTGACGGGATAGGAATGACAGGACTCCCCCCAAAAAACATCTGGTCCTATATTTGGAATATCATAGGAAAATCACAGGAAAATCATTGGAATCCTCAGTGACGGGATAGGAATGACAGGACTCCCCCCAAAAAACATCTGGTCCTATATTTGGAATATCATAGGAAAATCACAGGAAAATCATTGGAATCCTCAGTGACGGGATAGGAATGACAGGACTCCCCCCAAAAAACATCTGGTCCTATATTTGGAATATCATAGGAAAATCACAGGAAAATCATTGGAATCCTCAGTGACGGGATAGGAATGACAGGACTCCCCCCAAAAAACATCTGGTCCTATATTTGGAATATCATAGGAAAATCACAGGAAAATCATTGGAATCCTCAGTGACGGGATAGGAATGACAGGACTCCCCCCAAAAAACATCTGTTTTTTTTTGGAATATCATAGGAAAATCACAGGAAAATCATTGGAATCCTCAGTGACGGGATAGGAATGACAGGACTCCCCTCAAAAAACATCTGGTCCTATATTTGGAATATCATAGGAAAATCACAGGAAAATCATTGGAATCCTCAGTGACGGGATAGGAATGACAGGACTCCCCCCAAAAAACATCTGGTCCTATATTTGGAATATCATAGGAAAATCACAGGAAAATCATTGGAATCCTCAGTGACGGGATAGGAAACATCTGGTCCTATATTTGGAATATCATAGGAAAATCACAGGAAAATCATTGGAATCCTCAGTGACGGGATAGGAATGACAGGACTCCCCCCAAAAAACATCTGGTCCTATATTTGGAATATCATAGGAAAATCACAGGAAAATCATTGGAATCCTCAGTGACGGGATAGGAATGACAGGACTCCCCCCAAAAAACATCTGGTCCTATATTTGGAATATCATAGGAAAATCACAGGAAAATCATTGGAATCCTCAGTGACGGGATAGGAATGACAGGACTCCCCCCAAAAAACATCTGGTCCTATATTTGGAATATCATAGGAAAATCACAGGAAAATCGTTGGAATCCTCAGTGACGGGATAGGAATGACAGGACTCCCCCCAAAAAACATCTGGTCCTATATTTGGAATATCATAGGAAAATCACAGGAAAATCATTGGAATCCTCAGTGACGGGATAGGAATGACAGGACTCCCCCCAAAAAACATCTGGTCCTATATTTGGAATATCATAGGAAAATCACAGGAAAATCATTGGAATCCTCAGTGACGGGATAGGAATGACAGGACTCCCCCCAAAAAACATCTGGTCCTATATTTGGAATATCATAGGAAAATCACAGGAAAATCATTGGAATCCTCAGTGACGGGATAGGAATGACAGGACTCCCCCCAAAAAACATCTGGTCCTATATTTGGAATATCATAGGAAAATCACACGAATCCTCAGTGACGGGATAGGAATGACAGGACTCCCCCCAAAAAACATCTGGTCCTATATTTGGAATATCATAGGAAAATCACAGGAAAATCATTGGAATCCGCCATATTTCAAACTCTAAGAGATGCGAAGCGATGCGAAGCGAAAAAAGGGATCCTTGGGATTGATTCCTATGACCCCAAGCCGCCGGAGCCACTGGGTTTTGAGGCGCGGGCATCACCAACACGGCACGTCGGACCTTCTGAGCCTCCCCTCAGTGTCTTTTTGCGTCGAAAAAGGAGAGTTGCGTTTGAAAGTTTGGCCAAGTTGGGGCAAATCTGGTAATTAAGCTCAACAAAAAACTTGCCGACCCTTGTGATAAAACTATGTACATATGCTATTACTAATATTACTATTATGAGACCATATGCCGTTAAACTAGGTGTGGTTTATTAAATTGGGCATACCACATATATAATGGCTGGCCATTTGGTAACAGTACTCTGGTGGAATCCTCTGCAAGATGGCATTGCGTAGATGAACAAATTCTATCATCCCCTGTTGTATGCAGCCTTGGAGTGGATAAACATCCCCTTGACATGAAATTCCAAGTACCCATTCAAATGAACTTTTGAACCATATTTTTTCGATTCTTTCAACATGTTTCAGATATAGAAATGGATAGAACTGGTGTTTTTCAATGGCGGCCTGGCCGCACCAAGACCTTTTTCGCTTGGACACCTTTTTCGGCTTCACTATTCGATCGCCGCTGGAGCTCATCCATGTTGAAGCATGTTGAAGCCATCATTCATGTGATCTACATATACGTATGGGGATGGGTCAAGTTGCCTATGAATTTATCATATGGGGAATAACTATTCATTAACCAGCTATGATTTCGGGTACCTGGATTACCAGGGTTTTGACACATAACCATATGTAACATGTGGAGGTTTCTCAAAATGGGGGATCTCCAAAAAAAACATGGGTTTCAATACTAAAATGGTCTGATATTGGATGATTTGGGGGTACCCCTATTTACAGTATATCTAACACAAGGGATCTATATAAAATGATCTAAATACTTATTCATGTAAGAGTTGCATGGTATATACATATATGTATAATTCAAAATACTTTTTCATGTAATAGTTGCATAGTTGCATGGTGTATAATTATATTTATATAGAGAGTTTTACCAGAGACATTCAGACTGGATGCAACTACCGGAGGTAAGTTCTGACCGAGCTATCAGTTAAGCTGCTTCCATGAGTGCAACCATCCCTTCGAAGTCCACGACTCAGCGCGGTCTGGGTCCAGGGCTGGACAAATTGCGTAAGAACATTGGGGATTTGATTCCAACACGGAGATTCTTCCACGATAAGTAGGAACATTATCTGTATATATATATATATATATGGGTATGGATCAATACCTATTAATACCATTTTTAGAGGGATGAACATCCATTTACCAGCTATTTTTATGTTCACCAGGGGTACAAGGTTTTGACACACTGCCATATATAGGTTCAAAGCCGATTCAGATATTTATATTTGTTTATATGTATATATTTATGTATATATTATATGTATGTGTACATTGATATAATATTAATAATATGTATTGTTCCATCTTATTCCAATGTGCAAGTTTTTGACTGGGTCCCAATCTCAGGTCCCGCGATCGTTTCGGGGCAATGGCCGCTCCTGGTCCACTCCATTTTATTGGTAAAATTTAAAGAGGGATTAAGTGGGATGAATAACCAATTAACTGGATGATGACTATGATCAATATCCACCAATTAATTGGGATATTAACCAATGAACCAGTTATCATCATTATCCAATTATTGGCACATAGCAATGATGGTTTTGAGCCGATTCACTGGATGGAAATGGATGGAATCTGCTGGTGTTTTCCCCAAGTCATGAAGCCAGCTGTTTCTGGCTGTGATGGATTTCAAGGATCGATGGTGGCTGTCACACCTTTCAGCAATTATCAATGATCAGGGCTGCTCCAAGCCATTCGAAGTGAATCATGGTCACTTTTTTGGGGGAAAAATGGCTCGTTTGACCTCTTTAACTAGCCATGTATCTGAGTATCTGGGTTGTTGGGAGCAACGCTGATTATTTTAGCGTACATAAAATGAGATACGCTGTTTTATACTGTCGTAGACATTTATACTGTCGTATACATTTGTACATCTACAGACATGTACATATCCATTTCATTGTATGCATTGAAGGTCTATCAACAGGATTCAGTTGGATATTGCTTGGGTTTTGTGTGCTTCTTAATCATGAGCTACTTTAGAGCAACCCCCAAAACATAGGAACATACATTATATTTTAGTGGGAATCTACTTTTTCTATGATGTGTATATATATATATATGTATACACATTTATTATATATTATATTGTATTACATCATGTATATATATATATATGTATAATAGTTCCATGTGTCTCTTTTCATGGGTCACCACAAAAAACTGGGGGAAAACAAAGACCAAGAACTGATGGAGAAGCTCCGGAGACTCTGGAGGCTGGGCCATGGGGCATTGATGGGTTGTGGGAAAATAGGGGATAGCCTTTTGGTTAAAGGGAAATATGTGTTGATATTCTGGGAAAATTGTGGGAAAATGGGAAAATTGTAGGAAAATTGTGGGAAAATGGGAAAATTGTAGGAAAATTGTGGGAAAATGGGAAAATATGTATTCTATAATGGAATATGTCCCTATATTAATGACATATTAACATATATCCCGAATATCATGGTATAGAATGGAATATGAATCGAATATTGGTATATCCTCCGGGCAATCTAACATAGCCATAAACAAAAACCAGGACTTGTCATGGGTAAATCATCTACAAATGGAAAACTTTCCACACATTCGTGGCCGTTAAAGAGGGGGGAAAGAGTTCAAAAAAGAACACACTGGATGTTAGATAGAAGATATCCTTAATTGTGTTGTGCTCATGATTCAATGCGTGTTTCTCATGATTCACGGGTTTCCTGCTTTTCTGTTCTTTTTTGGGGGTTGCGAAGTGTATATTTGTGTAGTATATGAGTATATATACACATAGACAGTACAGATTGAACTTTCAGTCCCTGAGACCGAGACCCGCATAATTTGTTGATTTTGTACTCAATCACCCAAGCCGATCTATTTGCAGGGCACCAAGTGACCCATACCCATAGTTAGAACCGCCAAATGGCCAGAAATCCATTGGAAAATCGTCTTCTTCGATCTTCTTCCTCATTCTTTTCAATTGGATTCTACAGGGGCTTGTGATATTGACTTCAGGGCCACCCACATTTTTATCGACCCCCCTGATTGATGGGGACCTGCCTCTAAAGTGAGACCAACCCCTAGCAGTCAAAGTTGTTTGAGCCCAGTTTCATATCGGGTGTGAATGATGTACTGGTTAGTTTGCAATTTCAAAACAGGTCCTAATTTTTCCCACCACTATTTCACAGGACAACTACCCTACATGGAGCAATATTGTTGTGTCTATAGCCATGGATAGCCCTAAATCCCATGGTTGGCATTTCACTTGCCCTACTCACCATCCAAATTGTAGGTTTTGGTTCAAAACTTGTATTGTATATCCATATTGGGGTATGGTCATTAATGCATGGTCATGAATGGGGATTTGTGTACCCATTAATCCAGGATTCCCGTTTTGGGATGGATGATCATAACTCTAAAATGTACCATCTTTTGACCATGGCACACATTGGAGGAGTCAACACGAAAACCACCGACACGCAGCGCTTCCAGCGTTTGCTGCGAAAATGAATCAGATCGTCCACCAGCATGTGGTAACCTTGGTAACCTGTACCATCTCTTGGGCGGCATATCACCCAAAGCAGAAAAATCACAGGAACATACAAGAACAATGATGCCCTTATTCATCTTGCCAGCCCCCGATTAACATCATAGGCCTTGGAATATCAGTTTGCACTCACATTCGCCATGGGCCGCCCTGGTCGGCTGCGAGGCTGGAGCTGATGGGATTTGGGGATCAGCCTCATCCGGGATGGCTTTTTGTTGGGGCAAACGATAGGAAAACCAAACTTCTCTCCCACTAAATATGCTGTAGGGATCTGTAGGGTAAAATCCTGCAGATTCTCGAAAAATCGGAATGGACACCTCTATTTAAAAAAATTGATCCATGCTCAAAATGTGACCCAATTCTTGGCCAAAAAGCGGTAGCACCTGGTGGTCCGCTATGCTGGACTCCTCGGTTTCTTGATCAAAGGAGTGCCATGTTTCTCGGTTTCCATGTTACGGTAGACGGCATCACATTATTGGTTGATTGAGCTGATTAATGTTGATTATTTGATTCAACTCCAAGAATTGAATCACGGGGGGAATTTTAGAGTAACCCCCTAGATTTGGGTTTCAAACATGTACAACCATCTAAAAACTAGGGATGTCCTGCATTTTTTTCTGGACATTCGGCTTGAGTCCCTTGAGGATGGCTCATCTTCCCATTGATTCTGGCAGAGTTCGCAGGACCCAACCGACTCTAACCGGGACCGTCTACATCTTAAAGTCTTAAAGGTACGTTGGTAAACCTCATTTGATGAATCATTGTTTCTTTGATAAAATAATGATTATCAGTGATAATTATAGCGGAACTACATCTTAGCACTATATCACTATATCCATGTTTTAGGACAATCTTAGATTTTCCCAAAGATTATCCATGGTATTCCCCAAACATTCTATATCTCATATCACCCAAGCGAATATATATATATATATATATATTATATATATATAACTATCCGATCTCTTTTGCCCCGAAAACCAGGCTACATACATTTCGACACATAGCCATAGGGATAAGTGAAATCCCTGGGTACCACCTTCAAACACTTTGAGCAGTACCTTGATTCCAGGCTCTTGGGTTCAAGCATGGACCCAGATACCGCCCTCATAATTGGCTATCAAGCTATAGTCGCAGCAGTTGCATGTCAACTTATGGTGTTATATTCCCACCAGTTTCATAAGTTTTGATGGGGAAAATGGGGGTTCAATCCAAGCAAGCACGAATTTGGGACGTATGAATTCAGCCTTTGGTGATCCACATGTGACATGTGGGATTGTCTGAAAGTGGGATGCACCAACATCTATGGGATCTTATGGATTCTTATGGTAATTTTACCCATATAGAAGATGGTATTTTGAGGCACCCCATTTTTACACCCAAAAACCGGTTCCGGCTGGTTGATACATATATCAAATA